TAATAAAGTTTAGACAAGGAAGAGATTTTCCTGGGAACCCTAAAACAATGTACTGGATGCTTACTAAATACATATAAGTTTTTTGTGGGTTTTTTTTTGCCCTGGCTGGTGTAGCTCAGCAGATTGAGTGCAGGCCTGAGAACCAAAGGATCGCAGTTCGATTCCCAGTCAGGGCACATGCCTGGGTTGCAGGCCAGTTCCTATCAGGAAAGGCACAAGAGGCAACCATACATGGATATTTCTCTCCCTCTCTCCTTCCCTTCCCCGCTGAAGATAAATAAAAATTTTTTTTAAATACATAAAAAATTTTATATCCCTTTCTCTTGTTTCCCAGAAAATAAGAACATTAAGACATTAAGTCTGTGGTGTTAGATTCTGCAGCATATAAATCTGCCAAACTGAGGACCATAAATACAAAGAGCTGAGGAGGCACCGCCACCCGAGTAGTAACTACGTTCCTTCCATTTAAGAACATGTTGAACATCATAAACAACTGCATTATGTCAGGAGGGAAAACCAAACAACTAAATATAGTATATGTCTTAAGGTACCAAGCTTTACATTAAAACACACAAAGGATAACATCAAAATCAATGATCAAACTAAACTGACTACTCTTTTATAAGCCTTCCTGTACTACTAAAATAGCCACTGAAAAGAAAAGTTAGAAGGTTTGGATTACTTTAAAAAGTTTGGATTTTACAGTGGGGAAAAAGGGGGATTTTTGAAATGAATTATTTTCTTATCTCTAAAATTGTGATTCCAAATATTAGCTACATAAGTCAAAAATGGAAACCATTCTTTCCTCCTGAAGGTGGACCAAATAAGCAAAGAAAAGACTGTAAGAATCATTATCCCTTCAGAATTGTTTACTATGTGCTCAGGACCTTAGAAAATTCTATGTTGTATCTAATCCAACTCTCACAACACCACCAGAAGAGAGGTTCTGTTATTATCTGCACATTCAGAAGAAAAGACTGAGTCATAGATTATAACTTACCCAAAGCCACCCAATGGTGGAGGGGCAATTAAAATCCAAAGATTTTGACTTTGACTTTGAGCCTGACATATTAACATATACAGGGCAAGACTGTTCCTAAGAATTAAAAAAGGAAGTGAATCGATTTCACATAAAATTAAAAAATGACAAAGAAGATCAGGATAGGGAATATATTTAAAGTTTTTAAGATCAGATTTAAGAATGACTTTTTTTTTTTTTACTTTGAGCACTCTGACGGTCTCAAAGGGCATCACCAGAACACGCCAAGACGGACAGAAGAACCACGTTCCTCTCACTACACAGGCTGCAAATCCAGACTAGAGGGGCCTCCCTAGGACCTGCAGCTGCAGCTAACCTTCCTGACACTACAGACACTCAGCTCCCTGTTATCATCTGTGAGTGTTTTCCAGTTATTTACATGTTAATTTTGTACTTTAATTCTATTACAAAGTCTTTGTATGATAAACAACGAACAAGTTTTTCAGTTATACTGGTCATTCCCCATCTCAAGTTCTCAAAACTAAAAACAAAAATAAACTTTTCTCCAAAGAGTTGGGGAAAAAACTAGGTCATATTTCATTTGGGTCCTGTCACAGATGATTATTCTAAATAAATTTAAAGTTCCCTCAAAGGACACCAACTCTGAGAAAAGTTCACATTTTTTTCAATCCCATATCACTGCTTAAATTTTAAAATTTCTTGCTCAAATAATGCTATAGTAATACATTAAAAGGCAAAGACGATGCACCCCAAATCTGCTCAATAATTGACCACAAGACAATACACTGACAAAGGAATTTAGAGAGCTTTACGTTTGTGGTGGATACACAGCGCCCTCTGCTGCACAAGCTGCAGAAATGTCAGCCAAACTGAAAGATCCGAAACCAAAAAAGGCAGAGCAGCCTTGGGTATCTGTATTTGAGACTCGTATTTTACGTTTTCTCAAATTACCATTGTACAGATTTTAAAATTCTCTACATGCAGTGAGGCATTTTCTCCACATACTCCTAAGCTTCTCTGTCTGACCCTTTTCTGTCCTTGCATATAGTTACAGGGCAGAACAATGTATTGGGAACAAGTCCCCAAAAGCCCCCAGTGACACGAAACCTGGGACTGCCCCTTCTCTCTACTACACCTTTCATACCAGAGAACTGGACACAGCCGAATGTCCAGTTCTGGGACTGGACATTGGGACTCTGATTACAATGCCAAACCAAAGCAGGGTCATAGCTTTTAAACCTGCCCAGACTGGCAGATGAGAAGAACAGAAGACAAAAGGTGTTACATTTTGAAGAATGGGAGAATCTTACTTTTTATTCAAAAAAAAAAAAAGATTTCACTAACACTGAGAGATTGTACAATGACATAAAACCTAAAGTTCTAAATATTGAATATATTACACAGTCTGTATGGAAGGTATAAGGGACCCAAAATACACAGAAGCTGCTCCATGGTGTTCAAGGCGTGTTTACACAAGCCCTGAACCGTACTTCCCGCAGTGAACCTAAAATGCACTTTGAATATGTAATAGTTGTAAACTACACAAACTCGATTTATAACACATATGTAATTAATATGACTTGAAACAGTTTTGAAATGTATGGACTATTAGTAAAAGATGACTGAAGACACAAATATTTTAAAATAAATCATACAAGTTTTTAAAAGCTGAAGAACACATTATACCTTAACATAACATATAATGCGTATTTGCCTCGACATAGACTTTTCTTATATAACCTAATTTCATTCAAGTTAAACTCGAAAATTAAAAATATTTTTCCTAGTGAGGAAGGCTTAAAATATTAACTGTGTGATACACCTGGATGAAACAATTAAAAAAGAAGAAAGAAATAACTCAAAAAATGCTGTTTTTAAAAAGAGAATGCCTCCTATCAAGCACATTTTAAGGAAAGTTTTATTTTCAATGGCAAATCTGAAGCACCCTCTAGTGGAAAACTGATAACAAAAAATCAGAGCTTCTGTTTCTGAAATTTTATAATTCAATTGCCATTAAACCAACAACTATGACCTAGGACAAAAAGTAGATTAGGTACACTCCTCTTTCCAAATTGTACTTTTAAAATATTCCCAAATACACACACATGCACACAAGAGAGCAGTTCCTAAAGACCAACAGAAAAAAGTTTATTATTTATCAATTTAAAAAAACCCGAGGTCTACGAATATAACATCATACCTGTACACTATATATTAAACAGACGCTGTGGTTATAAAATGATTAAATCATAGAAACTCAGGAAATCACTTCGGTAGCTTGACATGCGTGGTTAGAAGAGTCAACCAAAAGGAGCGCTGAGGGAACGCAACAGGAAAACTTCTTCAAAATGACGATGCTCTCAGAAACACACCGCGACATTTTACAAACAGCCTTTGCTACACTAGCAAATGAGGTGAGAACTTCCAGCACAATCTGATTACATCCCTTCACTCTTGGTTATCAATGTGACTGCCTGACCTTGGAACAGGCATGGTTCCCACATGCAAGTGCCACCCAGATGATTATTTTACCAGATGATTCAGTAATTTAGAACTGAATAGATAAACCCCAGATTATGTGTACTAACAGGGTTACCTGTTAATAATTATACTACATATAATGTATTATGTAAACTCTTTGTGTCACAATTTGGAGAAATATTAACGAAACCGAAAATGTTCTTACCTGAAAGACCATTTTAAAAAGTAATTTCACATGTATTTTCTGAGGAGGGCTGAAAACACTTAAACTACTTAGCCTAGGGAAGAGAAGGCTCCACAAAAGAGCAGAGAACTGAGCACTGATTTGCTGAGCCCGCTAACCGCCTGTTGTTGAAGACTCTGGGCGCATGGGACACACTGGAGGCGCCAGGTCCCTGCTCTTGCGGAGCCTGCATCTTCAGTGGGGACAGACGGTAAGAATCAGCACGCTCCACTAGGGTCAGGATTTGTCTGTTCTATTTACTATGGTAACCCCAGCACCTGCAACAATACCTGGCCCACAATAGGTGCTCCATAAAAGTTTATTGAATTATATAAAAAAGAAACTTTAGCTACTGATGAGTAATATAAAGAAAAAAACCAATAATAATTAGAGTAATGGGCAAGGGTGCACGGCAGGTACATGCTATTTCAGATTGGAAAATTAGAAGAGGCTTCTCTTAAGGAAATGCCTTTAGAACTGAGACTATTTTTCATAACCAAAGTCAGACTTGCTGAGATCTGAAAGAAGAGCTTCCCAGGAAGAGGCAGGAGTGGTCTGACATTTAGACACGCAGGCTGGTCAGTGTGGGCGAGCCACGGCAGAGTCCTGGTAAAGAGTCAGAGTTCCTTCTACTTAAATAGTGTGGACAGAAGATGACGGTTGCCAATGGGGTCAAAGCAGTGGAAATGTAGAGAACGTGTAACGCCTCGTTCTATCTTGGAGGTGAGGAGTAGGCATGACTGCTGATAGGTTAAATATGTGCGATGAGGCCAAGAGGAGTAGTAAAAATGTCTCTTCAGTTTGGTGTTTAAACAACTGGGTGGAGAAGACTACTCACTGAGATGATGGGAAAACGAGGTGAAGAGCAGGTTTCAGCAGGTAGTGGAGGGAGGGAACAACTTTTATAACCAGCCATGTAATCAAGAGGTCAGGTTAGTGGTTGTGTATTTTGGTTTGAGGCTAATAAGTTTTGTGAGAGTTTTTACTAAGAGCTGTACTGTAAAGAGACTGTACAGAGACTGGACTGCTTGAGTGTATCATCAGCTGTCCACCCAAGGACAGCGCGGGCTGGACGAGCATTGGAGGATCACTGCTAAAGCACTTCCAATAACGGACAGAAGTTTCCCTCACATGTCCTTCCAAGGTACCACTTACCGGGGCTTTTAAGACTCTATGATTTACCTTCACTTATGCACATTATTTTGCCACTAAGTACATTCCAAGATAAAAAATGTAAATGTATATACAATGTATGTAAAATGTATTATTTGTCTACTAGTAGACATTCTATGTTACCTGTCTTTGTCAGCAAGAGGTTATCCAAGTGCCTGTCTCCAACTCCAAGGATGTACGTAATCACACAATATCCAGCTGCAACAACAGTTCAAAAAATCAGAAAGACAAAACTGAAAAACACACGCAAACCGGGTTATACAGAACACTGACTAGAAAAACAATTTGTGCTACTTTAATTTCCATTTGCTTCCTACAGTTTTTCATTTTTCACCTAAATTCTCCAATTAAATTGATAAACTTTGACTCTTTAAGAGTTTTTACTTGAAACTCAGAAGAAATTACCATTTGCAACAAGAAAAATACTTTTGTCAAATTATAAGAGCCAGTTGTATCAAAAGTGAAATCAGGTTTCAGGTCTATGGTTCTTGTTTAAAACTGGACCCATGTAAAGATGACTGAGAAAGAACTGTCTCAGGAAATGCACATAGTGAAGTCCATCACCCCACAACCATGCTGACCACAGGGGAAAAAAGAAAATGCAGGCCCCCCCAAAACACACACACACACACACACACACACACACACAAAACATTAGAGAAACAATCCTGAAGTACCAGTGGAGAGAAAAAAATTAACTCATGTAAGTGGTAAAGACATTTATGAAATGTACATCACACTCTTTTAAAGCATGAAGATAAATAAGATGACCAGGGCTAGGGGCAGAGTCACTGGCTCTAGCTTTTTCCTCTCTTCTCTTCTCTTCCAAAGATTCTGCAAACCTGGCATGTGTTGAAAATGCTCAAAGAAAACTTGAAGCATATGTAGATATACACACATATATACACATGTGTATATATACATACATATATATGTATATGCTTGCAATTTTATATATTTTATATGTATCATATATATTTTATGCTTCAAAATATATAACATTAATATATAATACATATTATATATTTCTCACATTAGTGACCTGACAATAAATATGACTTGCAAAAATACACTATGACTATAACAGCATTTACAAAAATGTTTATTTCAGCCAATATGTACAAAAATAATGAGACCACCTGTTAATGGCCAAATTAATCCTGTCCAAATATAATGGGCTTGGATCTGAATCTAAGTTTGACTCTGAAGTCCTAGCTCATGCCATTTTTGCACTGTATGATTCTTCCCCCCCAAAGTGGCTATTTTGATAGGTGAAATACTCAACAAGATATTTAAGCTAAAGTATATTTGTTTAAAATAAATAACAATATTCTAATTATAGATAAAATTATATATTTCAAAATGTATCTACATCTAGAGAATTAATAGAGGATCACATGCCATTATTAAAAAAATGCTTCTAATCATATCACTAATCTGCCAACAATTTTTACTTAATTGTAACAAATTAGTTATTCTCAAATACAGTCTGCAGTGTGACAGGGACTACTAGTTTGCCTACGTAATTTCTATTTCTATCTATGCTTCTTCTTAAGACAAAACCAAACCAGGGTTTACCTAGACTGTGCCTAGGTAAAAGACATTTCCTAGATTCATTTGTGTGTATCCATAATATATCATTCTGATAATTTTACTGAGCAGAGTTTTCAAATTTTAGTCAATATTTACAGATTATGTGTACATATTTCAAATAGAAAAAGTAAACATTCCTTTATTAAATAGATTTGTGATGAAAAAAGTTGACAGTAACTATCTGAAAGTCAAGTAAAAAGAAAATAATTGTTTGGGGGCCTGAAAACTATCTCATTTAATACGGGATTGAGAATAAGGGGTGGTGAATTACAGATGGCCACGCACTTTTTAACACTCTCTGCATTCAAGGCAGGAACTACGTTCCTTCCCCATGAACCCAGGCAGGCTCTGTGACTGCTTTAACCGACAGAATATGAGGTAAGTGACAAAGCACCAACTTGCCTGCCCAGCCTTCAGAAACCAACACTTTCCAGCCCTGTCTCCTAGAATACTTCCTCTTGGAACCCAGCTTGGAGAAGCCCAAGCCTCAGAAAGACCATGCACAGGTGATTCAACTGACATGCCTACCTGAAAAACAACTGTCTTGTTTTTGACTACTTGTCTTGTGAGTGACCGATCTATCACCTAGTCAAGTCCATAGATGATATGTAGTTGTTTCAGATCACAGAAAACACAGACCTGAAGGTCTGAGGAAAAAAGGAAAGAAAAAAGGCAAAAGGAAGAAAGGAAAGCAAGAAGGGAGGGAGTGAGGGAGAGGAGAAAAAAAACACAGAATGAGGGAGCGAGGGAGAGTAAGAGAAGAAAAACACTTTTTCGAACATTTCAATCAGTGTTTTTACGACTACGAGCACAAACTCATTTTTATGGGAAAGAGACTCACATGCAACACATGCTCCTTCACTGAAAATACGAATTAAAATCATAAAGGATTCTAACAGACAAGTATTTTACTTCAGTGTTTGCAAATTTCCTAGAAAATTATTTTATTTATACTTCTCAGCTAAAAATGTATTATCAAGCATAAATTTGAGAATAAATAATGGGGTTCAAAATAATCTGGAACGCTACTTCATAGAAGCATTGTTCATAATTTTAAAATGTCATGTATAACAGTCCTGGCTGGTGTAGCTCAGTGGATTGAGCGCGAGCTGTGAATCAAAGGGTTGCCGGTTCAATTCCCGGTCAGGGCACATGCCTGGGTTGTGGGTCAGGTCCCCAGTGGGGGCGTGCAAGAGGCAACCGCACATTGATGTTTCTCTCCCTCTCTTTCTCCTTCCCTTCCCCCCTCTCTAAAAATAAATAAATAAAATCTTTTAAAAAAATAAAATGTCATGTATAACAAATCGATTTATAAACCATAAAATGATATGGAGGTTTAAATACAGTTGTTACACATCTATTTGCCCTCTACTGGCTCCCCTCAGGTTTGATTGCTCAAGTTTAGGTAGACATATGGACGTAAACATAAATAAACATTTATATAAAACAGCAACAACATATACCATGTAACAGTCAGGGCTCAAATCTAGTGTCAATGCCCTGGTGAAACCTGCCTTAAACAATCCAGTTGTTAAAAAAAGGAAACTTAAGAAAATGAAAAATTAATTCTCTAGAATGTAAAATTCATCCTGTGGCATGCTGCTGCGACTCACTTCCAGGGCTGGACCGTGAGTACTGACCTCAAACACCGTGAGAGGCGCCCTCACAACACAACGCTGGTATCTTAGCTCTTGGTTTATCTAAAACATACATACTGCAAACAAGAACTTCTCTGCAGCCTACTTAATTCCATTTACTCAAACACAGAGAAAATCTAGGGAACAATGAACAGCTTCCAGGAAGAAATAACTTGTAATTTTTTAATTGTTAAGTGACTATATCTATTAAAGACTAAGTAGGGTTTATACCTCTTCATTACTATTAATCAAAAACATGAATGACGTCTTTTATCAGCATTTTATATATGTTAGTCTTCTTATAGAGCATTTTTGTATCTCCCCCAAATCTACCTGTTGGAATCCCAACGCCCAAAGGGCTGGTGTCAGAGGGCGGGGCCGTAGGGAGGTACTGAGGGGCTGGGGGTGGAGCCCTCAGCAGTGGGGTTAGCACTCTTATAAAAGAGACACAGAGACTCCCCACCCCCTCTCACCAAAGGGGACACGAGAAGTCTTCAATCCAAAGAAAACCTTCAGCTGACCATGCCAGTACCCGTGTTCAAAACTGTAGCCTCCAGAACCGTGAGAAATAAATTTCTGTTGTTTATAAGACACCCAGTCCCAGGATTTTGTCACAGCCACCTGAAGACACTGAGACAGTATCTTAACATGCTCTAAATGTGTGTGATCGTGGCAATCGCAGAATAGCCCGCTTTCCCTCATTCGAGTGTATCAATGGGAAATAATCATTTGTAAAACTTACCACAGCTTTTAACGTAAGTGTCCATAACCTCAGCACTGATCCCATAGGGCCCATTGTCACTTGGTGCATATTTTCTAAAAAAGTTCTGAAAAGACAGTATTTACATATTAACAAATTAATACATTAGCCATTTCAAAACCGTAAATAATGACCATAGATGTCTGATCTAAAATTTAGTCAGTAATTATAAAATGTGAATTTTAGGCAGTATATTCCTCAGGAATAAGTCTATTATGATGCTTATAAACTGTTAAGATAAAACAAACAAAAAACAACAATATATACATGCTGCTACTTACTTCTATAACCCAGTGAAAACATTAAAGAAAATAAAATAAATGTACTGGCTCTACCTCAATACTTAACAGATATCACTTTGTTTCATCTTTCTCCTGAGGGTGAACATAAGGTTTTATTTTTTTTAAATGTACACACTCTCCTGAAAATGAACATGAGTTGTTATTTTTTCATTATAGTCAGCCCTTGGTATCTACGAGTTACACATATGTGGATTTGACCAGCAACAGACCAGAAACAGAGTTGGGCACACTGTGGTTACACCTGTACTCAAATGTACAGACTTTTTCCCTTGTCACTGTTCCCTAAACAATACAGTATGATAACTATTTACATTGTATTAGGTATTATAAATAATCTAGCGATGATTTCAAGTATATAGGACAGCATGCACAAGGTCTATGAAAATACTATGCCATTTTACATACGGGACTTGAGCATCCAAGGATTTGGGTGTGCTCGGGGGTCCTGGGACCAATTCCTCAAGGATGCCATAGGACAACTGTACCTTTTAAGCATAGCTACCAAAACAGTTACCATTAACAAGCTCAATGAGATTACAACCAAACTTTTAAATAATTACAATGCAAGTGCTAAGAATTCTCAGAATTTAACTGCAATGGATAGATAGATAAATATAAGCTAGATGTTGCTAGAACAAAAGAATCATAGGGGCACAATAAATGCATTAGTGTCAGAAGAGTCTGAAAACAATGGGGGAAAATAGTGCATTTAATTTCGTTTTTCAGACTACCAACCGGACCTATCCACTTACAGAAAAACAGAGTTTATAAAACTCACATATCCTTTAAAAAATAAGTTTATCTTATATTTTCAGCTTTTATGACTACCCTGTACATTTGACATAGGATCTTTATCTAAAATATGCAAAGAACTACTATAAATCAATAAAGACAAACCACCCAACAAGAAATGGGCAAAGGATGTGAGCAATCACTTCACAGAATACACAAATCACCTATACACTTATTTAAAAATGTTCAATCTTGTGGGTAATCAGGGAGTGCAAACTAAAACCACAATAAAAACAAAAACTCAGAAGTTTGACAATAAGAAGATTAGGAAAAGACATGTAGCAAAAAGAAACATATGAGACACAACTATTTTGGAAAACAATTTTTAGCTATCAAAGTTGAAGATAAAAACCACCTGTGGCCCAGCTTAACTATACACATGGATCAAGCCTGAACCAAGAATCAACAGGCAAACCATCATTACTTCGTAAATGCATAACTGTACACAGCAATGCAGCAGTTGGTAACTTTATTGAACAATTCTTTCAGTTAGAACCTATGTTAAAGCTCTGCATACATTTCATGTAATCTTTGGAATAATCCTAGAGATAGGTACTACTAATTTTTAGCCAAAATTTACAGATACAAAACCTGAGGCTTGAAGGGTATATTGGAGTGTTCCCAGACCTGATAGGTTTGATTTGTTAGATGGAGTCACAGACTCAACACATAATTGTAGTACAATTAAGGTTTATTAGAGCAAAAGGTACCCTCTGTCTAGCAACTATCAAAATTTTGAAAGGAAAGCAGGCTGTTTGCTATAAATTATATTTATACAGAGTAGGCACAGCGGACCTGTTTTCAGCTTGGAACAGAGGAACACACTGAAAGCCAGCAAAAGACTAACCTTGAAATCAATCAGGCCTTTTAAAGGGCCTGCTATGTTAACTCTTCCTGCAAAGGGTTAAGCAGTCACTATATTAATAGCTGGACTGCTGCATAGCCAAACTTCAAGCCCAGGCAGTTTGATGTTCTCATTGAGCTTTTTAACCACTGCATGCAACTGCACCTTTAACAGAAGAACAGAATAGCCATTTGCTCTGTCAAGAAATCAGAGTAATGCTTTTCTGCAGACCTAAATTCTGTGTTGAATTACTAGGATACTCCAAACTGAAAAATACAAAAACACTGTAGCAAATGTCCTCTGTCAAGCCCTGTTGTATCACCTTTCATCTCGGGCAAATCAGTTATTCTGTGAGAATTACAAACATTTTAATTGCATAGGACAAAGGAAACATTACAAATAAAAGATAACAAACATAAACCATTAAGGTAAACAAAATGTAAAAAGAAGTCCAAAGATAAACATGGTTGAGTCCTAGAATCTACTTGCCTTTTCTTGTACCAAATGAGAGCAAGAAGGCTGGAAGGGGAAGAGAGGGACCTTAAAAAATAATTGCGCGAAACACACAGGAACAAGAATATCACCATTGCACTATTCTGAACAAAAACTGGGAAAAATCAAAGTGTTCATTAATGGGTAAATTATAGTATTTCCATACTTTGAAATACAGCCAGAAACTTAAAGACATTTTTCATCTGTTCACCAATTAATTACTGATTTACCATGTGCTGGGCAATGTTTAAGGATTTGAGCATCTGTATGTCCTAATGTGTAAGAATTTCCAACTGTTTACTTGTGAGGAAATGAAATAGCACTTGAAAAAAGGGGGTGATAAAAGGAGACTTTCACTTTTAAGTTATTTTTATAAAGACTGAACCTTTTGTAACAAGAATATATTCATGAACTGCATAAATCTTTAAACAGCTACTATACCTGAATGCTTCCTTCTGTATCAAGAACTTCAGCAACAGGAACTGACTGGATAAACTGCATGAAGCCTACAGGGAAACACATTCATTGCCTTAAGCAGAGTTATTGGTTAAGCAATAAAAATAAAGGTTCTGCTAAGAATAACCTTCATCTGAAAATGTATACACTACATTCCTAAATAACTTAAAAAGGGTCTGAGAAACACTATTTCGGTTTATACATTTATAGTGGAGTTTTGTCTCGAAGGAATTACAGGAAAACTTTTTTAAAAAAATTAGGCTGATTCAATCTGTATGTTTCTCTTAGGCCAATTTCTACCACTGCACATAAGGAATACAGAGATTTAACAAGGCCAAGCTTCTTAACTCTGGCACAAAAATGTCTTCTTTCTGTGTCATGTAGTATTTTTTTTAACCTATCAATGAAAAGTGTTCCATTCCACATTTGAAATCACTTTAAGAAATCTGAGATTATGTAATAGCCATAATCTGCCCCTAAACTTGTATTATGCTCATTAGCTTTTTTTTAATACTACATCTCTGCCTTTTACTGGAAATAACAGAAGAAAGTATAAATGCTTTAAACTACAAAAAAGAAGGGGGAGGATACAGTATACAGGGGACCAAGAAGGACAAAAATCTGGGAATAATGGGAGTATAACAACAAATATGTGAAATAAATCAAAGGTGAATGAAGGAAATGATGTCACAAGATCATAAATGATTCTGATCTGGTTTTGGTGAACCTTACATCATAGCTATTTGTGCACAAATCAAAAGACTGGATACTGCACTTTAGAATATGAAATATTTCATTCATTACTCTATCATAAACATGAAATAGGCTTCATTATTAATTCACTTAAGATTTTTATTATTTTTCTACTATGTAGCAAGAACTTTCCCAGGTAAAACCTAGAGTCTTGACCCTGCCTTCACAAATCATACAAGCTTGTGAGTTTTATCGGGATAAATACTACACGTGAAAGGGCACTATGGAAGGGAACAGTGTAGGGATCAGAGGGCATCTGACACTCTGAGCCACGTTTGGAAGGACAGCGATAGTTAACAGGTGAAGCTGTGGAGAAAAGAATGTTAAAGATCATGAACACAGCATACATGAAGGCCTCATGGTTGAAAAGACTGCAGTGCATTGGAGAAACCGGAAGGTGGTCAGAGTAGCAAAGGGCTAGGAATCGAGAGGGAGGGTAGCAAGAGAGGCTCCCGACGCAGGTGCAGGAGGCTTGTCACACTGTACCTTAGTTCACGCCAGAACTAAGCTGAAGCTTTTAGTCTTTGTCCCAAGAGCAAATGAAAGACTGTAAATGAATTTAAGCAGGATAGTCAGAGCATACTTACACTTTTAATAAGATCATTCTAAGAGAAAAATGTGAAGAGGAATTAAACTATCGAAAAGATTTGGGAGTGACCAGGGGAAGGGCAGGAAACCTGAGAGATATTTTGGTTTCTTCAGGCTATTTACTGATAAGAAGCTCTAAGAGTAACAAGACTACAGAATTCACGACAAGCATCAGGCTAGCATTCCTGTGGACTCTGCCTCTAAACTTCCAGAGGTTATTCAATCTCAAAAGAATGTGGATGCTATAGATTCTACACTAAGAAGTTAGTTAATTAGTGGCTATTATAAGCAGAGCACAGTACAAAGCCACTCTGGTCATAGTAACTCTGAAATGATTGACTTGGGACACAGGTTACCATGTAAGAAACTGTTAATTATAAATAATTCTAAATGCAAAGAAATACTCTATAAACGTGTTAATTTTTCTTCCAAATATGACGTTTAATGATTTCAAAGGGAGGGAGAGATGAAGAAAGGCAGGCAGGCCAGCCCAGCTGGCGTTTGGTGCTACAAATGAGTTCGATGTTTAACATTTTAACATCTTCAACTGAAAATGAAAAATATATTCACCGGACATCAAAATAAACAATCACTGTGTACATCAACTTACCATGTTTTGTACTTGTGGCTAAAACTTTATAGGGTGTTAACTTCAAATCCAGATTTTCTTTCCGTAGAAGCTTTGGATTAAAAAGACAAAATATATTAACTAAACAAAAAGACTATTATGAAACAATCTGACAGGCATTTATTACAGTATTTTAAGAGATTAAGTGGACCTAATTAAGGTTTAATTAAATTATTTAGTTAATTTAATTTTCATCATCAAAATAAATTTATTAAGCACCTACTGGATGGTATGCCAAATTGTTATCTTACTCTAAATCAGCGTCAGTAGTTCTCAATGAACAGCAGAGTTCCTCCTACTAATTTACGCAGTTTTTCCCCTACATATAAAGTATTTTATAAGTAGTTTAGACTCAGAGAAAAAGAAGTAAGAGCAAATATATTCCTTTAAAATCCAGGGGTAGAGATGGATTTAAAAAAGAAAATCCAGTTAACTAAGAGGAAAGAAATTACTAAATACAACATTGAATAAACTTAATTTGGAAAATGCTTTTATGAAAAGAAACACACACCATTTCATTTTATACTCATCACAAAAGCCACTCTGCAGTGTATAAAAACCGCCAAATTTGATCAAGGTCAAGTGGAGACTGCTCAACTTTCTGTACTATACCTGAAGGTAACAAAAACGTCCTGTGTCCAAATACTGTGTATGTGCTAAACCAGTTTTCTAAAATTAAATACTGTTCCACACCAACATAAGGTTATGTTCACCTTGTCCATGAGTGAAATGATTTGAAGAATAAGTTGATCTTGGCGTAAGTCGTCCCCATGCTTAAATATAACTGGGTATTTCCCTCCATCTTCTGTCTTAAAGAATAACTGCGCGGGCATAAGGGCGCTCTAGAAATAAATAATATTGTTTTCAAATCTGGATATAAATCAATGGATGAAATTCACTATACACAGAATACAATGTTGGCATATAGGACAAACGAGCAGGTAAAGGGGATCTGAGAAACAAGACGGGTTGGCACGGGGACGCACTAGGGCGCCCTGGAGAAAACAGCCTAGCTAGCAGTCAGAGTCCAGGGCCTGAGGGGCACGAGCTCGGAGTGGGTCCTGGTCAGGATCCAGGCTCTACCAGAGCTGGATGACCTTGCACACATCCTCTGACCTGGCTCCTCTCCAGAGTTGCTAAGGCAATTTAAAACCGCAGAGGTTTGCCAGTCTGGCACCGTGCTTGACAAAGAGCAGACATCCTGTAAGCATTCTCCAGGATGACTGGTATTACTAGACACACTGGAGTAAATGAGGTAAAACAGTACAGCATGAAAATGCACGTGATAAAGAGTCAAGAACCCTGGCTTCTAATGGCAGGTATATGACCAGCTTTGCAGCTTTGAGACTTCAATTACTCTATTACAAAATGAAGGGTAATCTCAAATACCTTTATCTCTTATTCTGGCATAACTACTTGTTTTCTCCAGAATCCTTCCCTTAATTAAATGAAATCTGGCTTAGTTTAGGGGCATGTTTAAAAATCAGCATATAATTAAATTCTCTTTAGAAACAAAACCTCATCTAGGATAGCACTCTGAAACTACCACTTAGGAGGTAAAAGTTCAAAACACTGTTTTGAGAAATATGCTCTATTGGTTTTGATTACTGTGGAGAAATTATGTAAGATAGAAACTTGGAGAAATTTATAATAATCAAAATAAGAGAAATGAGTCTGATGAATAAGAAAAACGATTGATAATGACCTTAATTTAGATAGGCCATGAGAAAGAACAGCACAAAGTGTCACTCAGAGGAATGAAACGTGTGACGAAGCATTTACAATAAAATGTCAATAACAGAATCAAAGTGGTAGGTATACAGTTATTTACAGTACCATACATTATTTCAATCTGACTGTAAGTTTAAAAACTTTCTTACATAATCCTAGGGGAAAAGGCATAAAAATGCTTCAAAATATATATGTTTTGAACATATAACCTCTAGTGAATTGCAACTCTGAATTTCAAATTATCTTAAATCTGGAGTATCCTTTTATCAGCCCAGGCAAAATGTATTTTATAAAGTACCTTGGGCCCTAGTTTACAAAAGGTCAAGAATTAACTGGAAGTGATCTTCCTGAGGATAAATAGTAGGCAAGAGGAGCTCTGTAGTAATCTCCCTTTTCAGATTCAGATGATTCTGAAACTGAGATCTCGCTTGAAATCTAAGCAAGCAGGTGACAGCCCCAGGATAACCGATACTATTTCCAGTTCCTTAGGGGGTTCACTCCACGTGAAGATCGTGCTTTGGCTCTTAAGCTCAGGTCTACAAAATACTCTTTCAAAATGCCAAACACTAGGTCCATAACCTTCTCAGCTCTAAGGAGCACATAAAAGGACAGTAAGAATCCACGGACGGCCCTGAACTGTGTGTGGAGAGGGCAGGGGACACAAGCCTCTGGGTAAGTCCCTAATGTGTACAAGGTCTTCATGACACAAAATGACTAAGCATAATTACTAAGCGAGAACCATTAATCCTAAACTTTAACCCAGGATTTTCAAGAATGTTGAAACATTTTGCCTTTAAATGCAGCCTTAAAGAAATCTGAACTATTTCATTTAAAAAAAATTTTTTTAATTTATCAATTGATTTTAAAGAGAGACAGGGAGGGAGAGGATATGAGAGACAGAGGGAGTGAGAGATGAGATAGAGAAACATAAGTTTGTTGTTGCACTTATTTATGATTTCACTGATACATTCTCGTGTGTGCCCTGACGGGGGAATAAACCCGAAACCTTGGCGTATTGGGACAACACTCGAACCTGTTGAGCAACCCAGCCAGGGCTGAATTATTTCTCACTGTCATGACACCCCTTTTTATAAATCTAAGTCGTTGTTCTGTGAGCCCTTTCCTACCTAATGCAAAGTAACATCTCAGTGCGACTTATGCCTTTCCACCCCTAGAATAACAAAACCTAGAACACCATGTCTCCCGGAGACCTTTCGTTACGATGCCGGGCAGACAGCTGCGCTTCACAGTAACAATGCTCCATTCTCTGGCCCGACTGCAGAAGAACGCCGCCATCCGCCGGCTGTTTTTAACCGCCCAAGCGGTAGCTGGCCGCAAGAAACGCCCAGCATGCTCGTAAGGACTAAAGACAGTTACTGTACTACTTTTAAAGTATTTAAGAAAGTTTTAAGTAACAGGAACGGAGAGGCTGAAAAATGTTTACAAAGGTTAACTGGGACTCATATCTACGATGTGAACTTTTGAACTAAATGGGTAATGTCATTTTTTCAACTTAACTTTAAAAAAAAGCTCACATGGAAAAAAGCAGGTGTGGCTCTGATGAACAGTTCAAAAAATTTCAGATTAAAACAACCCAGATACATCAAAATGTTTTACACATTTCACACTTTAATGCCTACTGGTAATACAAGAACTTAAATCAAAATAAAGGGAACCTTTTTTTTCCTAGCATTTACTAAATCAAATAAAATTACAGGTACTACCTGCGATGGAATAATTTTCAAAGTAGTGTGCCTGTTCTAGTTTTGAAGAACAAGGTCTCAATCACAGACATTGAAGATCCACCACAATTACCTTGAACAGGGTGGCTGTTTCTGGGATTATTCCTCTAATTTTCACCTGGGGTTCTAACGGCAACGGGATAACTTCCATGTCTGACAAGTTCATCTTTTCGCTGTCTCCAAGCAATGCCTGTAGTCTCTCATTCTAGGGGGACAAGTCAGAAAGGATTCATTAGGTTAAAATAAAAAGTAGTTTATAAGACACAGTAAAGACATAAAGACTGATTCCGTTAACTTTAAAATACCTGCAAAGCACCACAAAAACTCGTGCAAAGTGACGTAAAGCAGACAGCGTGTACGTGAGACACAAGCACTTACAACCCAGCGCACGCAGCAGCGCGCTCCAAAAGGAGGGAGGAACCCTGTGACTCTGAAGGGCTGGACTCTCACAGGGTTAGGAAATACGTTTCTCTTGCTGCAGCCAAGAATCAGGAATATACTCAAGCCAGACTTAAAAGATTTGATTTCTGTTTTCAAAGGATTTGCGAAACCACAAAGAGAAACTAATTTCACCTGAAGCTTAATTTCTGCATGACCAAATATTAAGCAAAAAACTTGGACCCCACCTTTTACTGTTCACTGACTCTGATCAAACTTTTCCTAAGGTATCGTTATTTATTTTCTTCAGCTCAAACACATTGCATCGAGTCAAGATTTCAAGTCACAGTGAACTAACTTCGTCATTTAGCAACATCTATCATATTTGCTACTCAATTTCAAAAGAACAATCTACTTCCTTTGAATGCTGTGAAAGTCTAGCATTTTTTGAACAGGTGAGCTTGTTCTTAAGGGAGGAAAGCTTCACCTATCAGTCCCAGCAGCACTGAACACTCCAACCGGAAATACTACTGAAAGGACGTACAGCTCAAAGGAGAGAACTCTGGAGGCAGTGAGATGAAGTTCAGAAAAATGTTTCAAGGACCACCAAGATGCAAAATTAAATTCTTCCCCTTTAGTAATACCCCAGTTCTCCTGTTGAATCATGGAAAGTTAAAGTCAATTGAAGACTGGTACAAATTTCTATGGATCCCCTACCAAAATCAATTAGTGAATCTTCCTGACCAAATGCACCCACAGATATATACCAGCATTAAAGTAACATCGACCAACCTGAATTCCCCATGATCCTGTCATAACCAATTTCGAGTTGGGGTGCTAATAAACAATAAAATAACCAGAAATCAGATAATATGAGAAGGGCGAGAAATGCAGCTGGGCCACCTCGACTGCTACAAGCCGAGGGTCCAAGCCACCACCACGTCTCACCTCTGCTCCTCCTGACTGTTCCTGTTCTTCACCCTCTGCCTCATACGGTTTCTTATCCAACAGACCAGAGTGCTGCTGCCACCAGAGTCAAATCACATCGCTCTTCTGTCCAAACCTTCAACAGCTCCCATTCTCACTGAATGTTCAAGTAGAGTCCTTACACTGGCCTCCGCGGCTCCACTCCATCCGCCTCCAGGTACTTCTGTCCTTGTCCTCATCACCCACTACTCTTCCCCACACCCTTTTTGCTCTAAAAACACTGGGCTTCTTCCTGTGTCTCAAACACGTTACACTACTACCCAGAGCTGTTGTTCCCAGGCAGGGACACCAGAGCCCTTGTCCCTGCTGTTCCTCAGGCTGGAAGAGTCTTCTCTAGGTATTTACATGGCTTGTTCCCTCACCCGCTCCAGGTCTTTGTTCAAATGTCGACTTTTCAGTGCAGCTTTCCCTGACTGTTCTACTGAGAAGAACCCAGCCCGTCCGATCCCCGTTCCCTGCTTTCTTTTTCTGCACAGCACACGACGTTCTATGCTGCACACTATACCTTACTTATTGATTTTACTTTTTCCTCCAACAGGAATGGAAGCTCCATCAGGGTAGGGACTTTTATAATTACTGCCGTAACCCCAGAACCCAGAAAAGTGGTTGGCATTGAGTAGGCATGCGGTACATTTTTAAAGAACAAATAAATGCCTATCATTATCTAAAGCATGACCAGGTAAAAAGAAATGCCTTAACAAGCAAAATAAAAGCTTCACCTTTTAATAACCGTCAGTGGAACATTCATTTTTATTAGAACTCAAAACATCTACTCAGAGGGCTCTTCTAACAAGAGTGTCTCCTAAACTGGAGGTCTGATGGAAAGAGGACAGCAACAACAGTATCATTTGTTTTACCCATCTGACACATAAAAACATGTTTCTCTTTATCCTGTTTTCTCCCGCTCAACCTTGTCAACATTATTCCACGTACAAATCTCACCTAGCAGCTCTCCTCAGGCCTGATCCCTGCCTTAGAGCTTCCGACTCAGCGTTTTTGTTTTCCCTCCTCCACTCCCTCCTCACAGCCTGGAGAGCAATAGTAACATGCGAGAAAGACCTGTCTCTCCCGGGATTGGGTAAAGAGAAGGGGTCAAGGGAGTCCTTCATATAATTTAGGCTATTGGTTAGGGGAAAAAACATATGTGAAGAAGACATACTCATCTGTTCTCATCAAGCAGAAACCTCACTGTTGAGAGAAAGATCAATGTACCAGCCATGGAAACAGATTCAAAGCCAATGCAGTTACAGCTAGTCACTTTGAACCTTCATTTTTACTGAAGGATTTCAATCAAAACGACCCCTAGAGGTCCTTTCCATGTCAAATGGCTTCTACTCTAGGATGCCAAGACTCTACAATAAGAGCCAATTAACACACTGTAGATAAAAAATATGGACCCAGAGGTCTGGGTACCAATCCCAGTGCCAACACTTGCTAAGGACACTGGACAAGTTAACGTAACCTCTCTATTCCTACTATTCCTTTCAATTGGGATACCCTTACCTAATTAACAGGGTTGCTATGAGGATTAAATCAATATACACAAATGCATAATAAAGCAGTATCTCATACATAATCAATACTTTTAAGTATTGATTTAGTTCCTATTTCTAAAATTACGTAAGATTTTTAAATAAAATTTTAAAATTTAATTATTGTTCAAATACAGTCTTCTGTCATTTACTCCCATACCAGCCCACTCCCCCATGCTCCCCACCTCCACTCCCATTTCCACCCCTTTTAGTTGTTGTCCATGTGTCCTTTATACTAGTTCCTGTAAATCCTTCCCTTTTTTCCCCAAAATTCCCTCCCCTCTCCCCTCTGGTTGCTGTCCCCCTGTTCTCTATTTCAGTGTCTTTGTTTTTATTTTGCTTGCTTGTTTGTTTTATTGTTTAGCTTCCTGTTAAAGGTGAGATCATATGGTATTTGTCTTTCAACACCTGGCCTATTTCACTCAGCAGAATGCTTTCCAGTTCCATCCATGTTGTTGCAAAGGGTAGTAGCTCCTTCTTTCTCTCTGCTGCATAGAATTCCATTGTGTATATGTACCACAATTTTTTGATCCATTCATTTACTGATGGGCACCTAGGTTGCTTCCAACTCTTGGCTATTGTAAATTGTGCTGCTACAAACATTGTGGTGCATAGGTTCTTTTGGATTGGTGTTTCAGGGTTCTTAGGATATAATCCTAGCAGTGAAATTGCTGGGTCAAAAGGCAGGTTGATTTTTAGTTTTCTTAGAAAAATTCCATACTGTTTTCCATAGTGGTTGTACCAGTCTGCAATCGCACCAACAGTGAACTAGGGTCCCCTTTTCCCCACAACCTCTCCAACATTTGTTGTTTGTTGCTTTGTTTATGATAGCCATCTGACCAGTGTAAAGTGGTATCTCATTGTGGTTTTAATTTGCATCTCTATGACAGCTACTGATATTGAGCATCTCTTCATGTGTCTCTGGATATTCTGTATGTTCTCCTTGGAGAAGTGTCTATTCAAGTCCTTTTCCCATTTTTTAATTGGGTTAGATGTCTTCTTAGAGTGGAGTCATGCAAGTTCTTTGTATATTTTGGAGATTAAACCTTTGTCTGAGGTATCATTGGCAAATATGTTTTCCCATACACTTGGCTCTCTTTTTTTATTTTAATACTGTTTTCTTTAGCCGCGAAGAAGCTTTTTATTTTGATGAGATCCCATTTGTTTATTCTTTCCTTTATATTTCTTGCTCTAGGGGACATATCAGTAAAAATGTTGCTGCATGAAATATCTAAGATTTTCCTGCCAATGTTCTCCTCTAGGACTTTAATGGTGTCAAGGCTTATATTTAAGTCCTTTATCAACCTTGAATTTATCTTGGTGTATAAATGACGTAAGATTTTGATAAGAGATGTCGATGCAAAAGGAAAGGACCAAAACTCAGAATTTTATGACACCAAGACGCTATTAGTCACAAACAGAAAGCAAAGCCTATAGGTTTACCTTCTTCTTGCGATTTCCGCTCTCACGCTGCACTGCCTTCATCAGATGCACCAGCCGGTCCACAAACGTCTGCTGTGCCGCCAGCAACGAGCGCATCACTCTGACCGACTTATCACCCTGAAGGGGTTCAACGGGAAGGAAAATCAGTTGTATGCAGCATAATGACCAGGGTCTCTTTACCAGCATGGGCAATCTTTATTTATTCTAATAGCTTCAAACTTCAATACAAACTGTAATTGAAAAAGATGAATTATCTTGATTCAGAAATGAGAAACCTGCTATCTTAGCTAAATCCCACCAACTCTTCCTGTTATCTTAAACACAACCAACTCTTCAATAGTTGAAAGATTATCTGAGTCTTCAGTGAATACCAGAGTCTACCAAAAACAGCACTTTTTTTTCACATATAACCATGTGGCAAGATAGAATTCATTCTCTCAAAATGCACTCACTGATTGATTCAATAAATATCTGGACACTTATTTATGTGTCTTCAGAAATTTGCTAAGGATATGGAAGAAACAATATTATCTTAAAGGACTAAAAAATCTACCCAGAAAAGGTAAAGTCCTCAAACAGCAACATATCCCATGCTTGCTTAATAAAAGTCATAAGAACAAAATGCTATAAAGACTTATGTTAGAGATCTCTAGTTCATAAAATATTATAAAATATTTTATAATATTTTATAATATTTTTCTCATTTAATCTTCTAATATTTGTAGCTGGGCAAATATTAGCAACCTCATTTTGAAGATGAGAAAGTTTGAGTTCAGAGGAACTGAGATTTCTTCAGAGTGACGAATATAAGTGACAGGACTGAGGACCAACTAACTGCTTATTTGCTCATCAGTTTGATGCAGAGACAATCTGAGCTCTGAAAACTACATAAAAGTTTAGTCTCCAAGAGTTCAATAAGAGATGCTTTAAATATTTTATAACAGGAAGCATTAAACAAAGATAAAAGATGCTATCAAGTAAAATATTTCCATAAAGCACAGATTAATGTGAGTTTTCTTTTCATTGTCCACACACCCTCTGCTGGCTGAACTGTGACAGTGCTTTAAGAGTCACATAAACACCAAGGGAAAAGTGGCTTTATGTATCTCTAAAAATTGTTTAATAAAAGAAAAGGTATGTTATATACAACGTATCTGCAGTACAACCATTAGCTGTAATAAAGCCACTGCCAAATTCTAGGAATGTGACTAGTTTCGGAAATAAAAAGAGTAAACGGAGATAGAAATAAAAAGGCATCCCTAGCTGGTGTAGCTCAATGGATTGAGCAAGTTGGGCTTGTGAACTAAAGGGTTACTGGTTCAATTCCCAGTCAGGGCACAGGACTGGGTTGTGGGCCAGGTCCCCAGTAGGAGACACAAGAGAGGCAGCCACAGACTGATGTTTCTCTCCCTGTCTTTCTCCTTCCCTTCCCCCCTTTCTAAAAAATAAGTAAAATAAAATTAAAAAAGAAATAAAAAGGCAAAGCTTTGAGGTATTTTTGTTCCATGTTTAAGTTCACTTCATTAAATCAGGGATCAACAATCTTTCCATAAAGGGCCAATGAATAAATTCTTTAGTCCTGTTGGCCTCTATGGTCCTACTGTTCAACTGTTACTGTGGAGCAAAACTGGCCACAAACAATACGGAAATAAAAAGCACGACTAGGTCCCGGGAACACTTGACTTATCAACACTGAAGTTTGAATTTCACATAATTTTCCTCTATCACAACAACATATTATTTTTCTTTCGACTTTTTTCAACCATTTGAAAATATAAAAAAACATTTTTAGCTCGGAGGACATACCAAGACAGGCACCAGGCTATATCTGGGCCATGCACGGTTTGTCGACCCCTACATTAAACGATTACCTTCAGCAAAGCTTGGCTGAATCGTCTCATTACATTCAAGTACATCTCATGGGTCTTTGGATCTCTCTGCTGAGTATCTTGATCTTCACATTCCACTATCACATACCTTAAAAACACGTTCAGTCACACAAATCATGTGAAATGAAGCTCAGATTCATTTTGTAAATATTTATGTCTTTCCATTAAGAGATTAATTCACATCTGCACAAACAAGTGTGTGGGAGAAATGAGATACTCTATCATCACTCTTTTAAAAGCAGAAATAGAAGAAGAAACAACACATACGACCATCTGCAAAAGGTAAATTAGTAACAGTAATGTTTTAATTTGCATAATAGCCTAGATTTTCTAAAAATTTTGGTATGAAAACATTTTCTCCTTTCTTTATAAAGTACAGACAGCATTAATTTTCAACTGGTGTGTCAGAAGAAATTTTAAAACATGCAGTACCTGACTATTTGGTCAGGGGCACTGACCCCTTTTTCCTTAGATTGTCAAAAATATGACAACAGCCAACACAACAACAGTCATGTGGTATAAATGAAAATCAAAATTATACTTATTTTTTGTCTGATCAGCAAAAAATATATTTTTTGGCGTGCTGCAGAATTATGGTGATTAGTTTACGTGTGCCACAAGATTGAAAGAGGTTGAGACTCGCTGACATACAGCCTTAACACTTTCGGAAATCATCTAAGCTCACACATCTACCAAGTAACTCAAGATCAAGAATATTTCCACAATCCACGTTACCATCTGAAGCTATTTCCTTCATTAACATTTTTCTGAAAGATGAATAAAATTTGAAATTGATTTTTCCTTTCCCATCTAAACTCCCTATTTCTAAAGAATCTATATATAACCTTAAATTTTTCTATCATAACAACATTGTGGTCCTAGAGAGATAAAGATATTAATCAATCATATAAGCAATGCTCAAAGATTACATTTTAGAGCTCCTCTAATCCAGTAGTTCTGTTTTTTTTTAAGTACAGTCAACACAGCGTACTGTATTTGTTTCAGGTGTACAGCACAGCAATTCAACAAAGTGATCACAATGACAATTCTAGCAACATGCCACCATACAGTACTCCAGTATTAATGCCTATATTTCCTGAGCTGAACAGGGCATCCCCACAACATTTATAACTGCACACTGATACCTCATAATCCCCTCTCACCTTTTTCACCCATCCCTTCCATTCTCTTCCCCTCTGCCAGTTGTGTGTTCTCTGTTATGTATGAGTTGTTTTGCTTGCTCACTTGTTTTGACCTTCAGATTCCACATATAAGTGAAATCATACGGTATCTGTCTTTCTTTGACTTAGTTCACCTAGCATAATACTAAGTCAGCAGCTGCCAACCTTGCTGGCACCAGTTTTTCCAAGGATGGGGGTTGTGGGGAGCTGGGGATGGAGCTGAGGCATGGGGGGCAGTCAGGAAGTGAAGCTCCTCAGGCAAGGTTCAATTGCTCACCACCTCTCACCTCCTGCTGTGTGGGCTGGGGGTGGGGGTGGGGGTGGGGGTGGGGGAGAGGAATGGGTGGAGACAGGGGGAACAGATCAGGTGAGCTTCCCTGGAGGCCAGGTTCCTAATGGGCCACAGAAAGGTACTGGTCCTCGAACTGCGGGCTGGGAACCCTTGCTATAAATGTATCTATGTTGTTGCAAATAGAAAGATCCACTCTTTTTTGTGGCCAAGTAATATTCCATCGTGTCTCTGTCTCTATCTCTACAGACACACAATCTCTGAATCCATTCATCTGTTGATGAATATCTTGGTTGCTTCCATATCTTAGCTACTATAAATAACGTAATGAACACAGGGGTACATATATCTTTTCTAATTAGTGTTTTTGATTTTTGGATAGATACACAGAAGTAGTTATAGTTTTAATTTTTTGACAAACCTCCACACTGTTTCCTGTAGTGACTGCACCAATTAGCAATTGCACTAATAGTGCTCAGGGCTTCCACCACAACTTTGTACACATGGCCATATGAGTGCACACGGATGCGTAACACAAAATAAGTTTCCCATTTTTTTCTTTCAATGACAAATGCTAGACTGTGAACCTTTAAGTTGATTTCAATGGATTATAATGTACAAGGTGTTTCCAGAAAATATCCAGCCATGTACTATGAAAAACAGAGACATTTATTGAAGAAGATATCAGATACAAGAAACATTACACATAGGACTATGACACCTCAGCTCCTACAAAGTAATGACCTTCTTGAGGCAATATGGTTCATTGATAGTAGTTTAAATCATGTCATTAGCAACTAAAGTACAATATTCCTTCTGCTTTGGTAGCAGAAGCTGTAATATAAATTTTGCCACAACATGTTTCATGCCAAGACCCTGCATCAAAATCATGGACGTATTAGTTTCTGGAATCCCCAGATCAGCATCTAGTTCTCACACTGTCAGTTGCTGATCTTTGTTGATTGCAGCTTCTATACACTCAACATCGTCAGGTGCTCTGCTTGTTCTGCTTTTCTTCCAGAACGTGGGTCACTTTCAGCAGATTCTCGACCATCTGTGATGTGTTTGTGCCACACTGTTACTTGCACTGCACTCATTGCATTGTCCCCGAAACCCTTCTGAATCATCTGAATAGTTTCCACAGAGGAATGTTCAAGCTTAATGCAAAATTTGACGCAGGTGTGTTGCTTTACTAGCTCAGTCATCTTGAATGTGACAGCCACACAGTACACAGGTTCACTCAGTGGTGTCTACAATCCTCACTGACTATAACAGTGAAGTTGTCATTGTTCACTCATGTGCATTCCAGTCCACTCTCCTTGGCTACCAGGTTATTCAATGTCATGCAAACTGTTTTGATTTTTTATTGATATGGATATTTTGAGTATATTGGTTGTCTTCCACTATTGGCTTCTAGTGGGTAGAGGCCAGGGGCACAGCTAAATATCTTCTAATGCCTAAGACAGCCCCACAGCAAAGAATTATTTGGCCAAAATGTCAACAGTACCACAAAACTTCGCAAACCACTTTTGACACATTGGATCACAGCACCTTCTCCATACACAGCACAAATCTTTGTGTTTCAGTTGCATTTTTCCTTTCTTGAAATATTAAAGTATAATACACTAAAAATGTTTGTATCTTTTTCCATCTTTAATATTAAAATGGCTCCACAAAAATTCACCAATTTATCTTCTTTATTGCACTCTGATATAGCTGTCACAGTACAATCTAACAAAATTGTTTCAAAAGAAGTTAAAGACAACTAAATGCTTCTAGAGTCATAGTTTGGAAAAACAAAGTATGACACAGTTTGCATTAAACAAACTTTTTGGCCAAACCCATAGTCTGAAAATCACAGATCCAGAACAACTTGCTTGTTTTATCAACAGTGAAACTTAAGAGGGGTTTGTGTTTTGCCCATGGTGGTGCAATCAGTTAATTTTAGAGCTAAAGCCAGAACACAGGCGTCTGGGCCTCCAGGTCAGAATTCTTTCTGCTCTACGAAGCTTACTCTCACCACATTGTTTTATTTTAAAGGCCACAAGAAACTTTTCAACCTCGTTCACTGATGGTGGTTCACAAATCTCAAGTCACAGCCACCTATTTCCTTTGTACTATTTCTGGGAACCAGTTGTATGTGGCCACGTAGAAGGTAAGTTTCATGAGAGCCAAGAGCTTACCTGCTTGTTCACACTATACGCTCTATACTTTCATGCCCAGCTCATAATATTCAATATATTATTGTTGGCTGAATACGTGACTCCAATCTCAAGGATTTAAGCATTCTCTCAAAGTTGGTAATTTTCAAATACGAATATGCATCCCTTTTAACACACCTACAGTTTGACTTTGTGTTTCGTCAGGCGGCCTGCTTCCACACTCACCGACCCTAATCTTCAAGCAGCAGGCCCCCTTCCAAAGACATTGCTTGTCATTTTAAAATAAATCTGCATGAGACTGAAGTTACCACACTAAATGAGTTATTTTTCTATCCCTGTTGAAGATACTATGAATATTCCAGACATCTGGGCTGTGAATTCTCATGTAGCATGATTTGTAAATGCAAGTTTTCTCAAAGGTCAGGGGGAAATATAAACGTATGAATCATCTGAATATAAGAAAGGAGAGATGAGGTTGTACACAAAGTAGAGAATACAGGTTCTAACTAAAGCTGTCAGCGACACTTTGTGTTTAATCTGTGGTCTGTGCACCGAGACCAGGTGGCATCAGGCCCTGCTGCCTCCTCCCTACAAAATGCCTCTTCCATGGTCTGCACAGCCAGCCCGTCTGGATTCCACCAGCGGATCTCTCACCTGGCCTCTTCAACTCCAACAAGAAACCTCTGTATTGCCCAATACAATCACTCTAAATTTTTCTCTTCCCAACTACCTTTATCATGTCCCACTTACAGTAACAAAAACATCAATGGTTCCCTCTTTTCCACTACTTTAAAAGTTTCTGGCCCAAACTCCCGGTTCACACTTGCTCCATGTCCGACTGTCCGCATTCACACTCCAGTGAGGTCAGTCCCCTAACAGCCCTCTGTGCTTTGGCTCAGGCTGCAGCACTGCCCAGGACCCCTTCCTGTCTCCACCGCTGCACGTCCTACCCATCCTTCCAACGCGTCTGCCTCCTTCAGGAAGTCTTCACGAGGCTCAACAACCTCCTTCTCCTCCCAGAAGAGCCACCGCCTTTCACACGCCTTGTGCTGATCATTTTCTCTTACTTATCACGATCTGACAGAAATAGTTCCCAGAGTTTCATAACCTAGAATTTTCCGTGAAGTGGTAAGAGGAGCTACACTACGACACTATATGCACCATGTCAAGTTCCCAACAGGAGTTCTAAACCCCAAACTCACGGCATTCTTGAATCCAGAAAGCCTTCTAGAGTCACAGGAAACACAACTAGTTAAAATAAAAGTAAGTACAATTAAATTAAATTAAAAATTCAGTTTCTCAGTCATACTACATACATTTCAACCACTCAGGGAACATACATGCAACACTGTAAATTATTTCCAGCATTGCAGAAAGTTTTATTGGACAGCTGTGTTCTAGGCGAACAGGCTAAGAACAGTTAAGATAAACTCTTATTTCCTAGTCACAGCAACCACAGTGTTTGGTCATTTCAGGACACTACCTAAGAATGCCAAACAGACAGTAATTCTAAACTATAAAACTGTCGATATGGCCCTGTTCAAATCCACTCTATATCCTTTTCCCTTTAAAGTACTTGACTATCTGTATGACCTCCCTACCTTCGTATTTTCCTGTGTGTTTATGCAACAAACTTATTGCCAAATGAGCAACACAGATGACCACGTTGCACAGGCTCCCTTGCTCTGCTCAGGTTTTCCTGACCACCGGGTGACCACAATGGCTACAGAGTCAGAGTGACTAAGGGTACAGACCCATGCTCATGATACAGGTTTAAGTATCACACTCTCTCAAAGTCATTCAAGTCCAACGTTCTGTGGCAAAGAGAAAGTCCATATAAAATAAAAATAGCAGTGCCATTTCCAAATATAAAGGGAAATTATAAATCAAGACAAGAAATGTAGATTGGAATCATTTCTCCATTCTCTCTTCAGAGCTGTAAGCCAGACTCCACGAAGCCTTCCAAGGTATATTCCCTTGTCATCTGTCATCTCGAAGTAGAAAGGCCCACAACCTGTCTGGCCCCCACTTGTAAGATGGTATCAGTGGGCTAGCTGTTTCCTGGTGATTTTGTTTTGTGGGGTAAATAAACTTTATTACTTTGAAAGGTCGTAAAAGTTATTGAAAAACATGTCAAAGCATCCAAAGTTTACTTTTAATTTCAACACGCTGGAACAGCTGTAAAAATAAAACACTGAAACGATTTATAGATCCTGATGCCCGACACTTAGCAGATCCCAGACTAACTCCCCTCTGTGGCTTAAAAGGTTGACACTATTCATTTTAAGAGGACTGTCTGCACAACAATAGGCCCCAAAGGATTCAGCTACAGCTAAAATCCCATTTGAATCACTGGAAAGGGAACAAATGAAAAAAGGAAATTCAAAATGTTCAAAAGAAAACAGAACAATTAAAATTTGTATCTCAGTGCATTTGCTGTAATAGACTAAGCTTAGAGTGACATTTAAATTGTTACATTTGATTAATACCTTTATACTATTCTATCACTATTCAAAGGGAGAGAATAATCATTGTAAACCAACTATTTGAAATCATTTCCCATATCCACACCTAGAGTCACAAAATCACTGCCTACCAAAGTCAGAAGTCCACATCAATAGCTTTCCCCCCTGCGAGTTTTTCTGAGTTTATAATATGCAGACTGTAAATACGGAAAAAACAATTACTCCTTAGAGAATAGACACAGCACACTATTGCTTCAATAACTCAGAGACACAGTGGAAAACCACAAATCAAATCTAAGTTTGATGGAATGTTTATAAGACTGGGAGCTGGGGCGGCACTTTGTTTATTATCTACGAAGAGAACAAATTGGCCTTTCTGAACAGAAACTGTTGCCTTGTTAGAAATTGCTCATCTATTAGATTTCCTACTGTTCAGTTGCTTTCAGAATTGTTTGAAATCTCTTCCTACTTGAAATAAGAGATCAAAGATTCTATCACAGCTTATTTTGTGTCTTACAGTGAAATCTGTTCTACAGTCGAATCTAAAGAATACATAATTGTAAAACACCACAGATCAGTATATCCACAGAGCTCTTATAATAGTAACTACTCTAGACTTTAAATTCTGAGCCAGAAAATATTTTTGCAAGAAAATAAAAATACCTATAAAGAAATTCTTAGTAAATGATATAATATGCAATATAAATTTAAAATACCTAAGAGGCTTACAAGAACTTACTTAAAAACATGACAACATGCCTATATTTTTATATCCTTTTAAATATTTACCTACATTTGCATGAAAAAATCTTTTTCCTAACACCAGTGAATTAGACATGCAGTTAAGAATTCAGACTGGAATATGGAGAACATTAGGAAGCAAGAGGTTGCATTAAAAGGAAATAGTCGCTATTTGGTAATATGAGAACGTCTAAGTAAATATTTCAAAGTAAAAATGGTGATTAACAACCAGCCAAAACATTTTGTGGGCATATTTTCAAGGGCATACTGAAATTTACTGTGAGGGAAATATAGTTTTATTACATTAAACTGCTAAAGTAAAAGCAAGAACTATTTTTCTTCCCACTAAGGCCAACAGGAAGAAAAAACCCACAGAGCCCAAAGGGGGTAAAAATGACAGATTCAGTTAAGATAACTGATAGCACTTTTATTATTTATAAAGAGAACCGTAAAGGCTGAAACTAAGCAATCATTTGTTGTTTATGTAAATCGTGGACATAAACCTGTGTTTGTAAAGAGCGCTTTAATTCAGTTACCTATTTACTGGCTACCCGGGCAGTATCCGCAATGGCATTAGGTCTAGAAAGTGCAAGAATGAAGTTAAGGCTTAATCTGACCAATTGGACAGTTTTTTAAAAATCAGTGTAAAACAGGAAAGCATTTTTAAAAATTCTGTCATTGAGCTCAAAATGCCTCATTTTTTCCTAAAAAATAATGAGCTTTCAGAATGAATATCTACTCACTTGTACTGGTTCGGTAAACATAGTACATTGAGCAGTAAGACATGATCAGAGATCAGTTCAATGGTTAAAAAATACCTCGTATGTCAGGAAGTTCTCAATGTTCTCCCTGATGTACAGCAGGCTCCAGGTGGGGCTGAGCAGCGGGCTCGTCCCCGTTTGCCAGGTAAAACCGGGTAAGGCTTCCTCGTCATAGTGTTTAATCCCACGGCTAGTTTTTTTTTTTTTTTATTGAACTACAGTATTTCTCTGCAGCTTCAGTTTCTTGCCCTTTACAATGTAGAATGCTGCGACAGATAAAGGGAACCATGCTTCATACTAATCGTGTCTCAGTCAATTAGCCTCCCTGTGCCTTAGTCTCTTTCCTTGAACTCGACAGACCTGTAAAATACAGGTCTTCATGCGTGCCCAATTTAACTGCACAGGCACAGATGAGAAAAGGTCACTGAAAATACTCTTCAAAGGGCAAAGTACTAGAGAAATGATCGAATCCTAGTGCTGGTTGTATCAAGTTCAATCATTTCATGCCTCTGCCTCAGTTTCATCTATAAAACAAATAACTTCAAATCCCCACTCCTCATTTCTGTATGATTCCAATGTTTTTGTAAATAATGAGAAACACACACTGCTAGGGGACTGGGAAGTATCAAACTGCTTAGATACCACAAAAGGCAAACAGATACCAAACTGAAAAAAATCTCACTACTTTACCCAATAATTTCACCTTAGATACTGAAAAGTTAGTAAAAGCAAGAGAAACGGCGGTGCTAACAAACATTTCCATGAACACAACTGTAAGGAAAACAGCTAGATACATAAGGTATGATTGCTCATATCTTCATTTAAACTGACTTTATGTGTATAGCGTGGGGGGAAAATGTTCTCAAGATTGGTAAGAAAATAAACAAAAAATTATTCTCACGTACCAGTATAAATAATTAGCCAGTGTTGAGTTTTTGCAGGCTCTTGATATCAAGAAGGTGCAGAGATCTTGCTGAAAGAATTAAAAGAAATGTTTATATGTTAAATTATCATCTGCTATTAACAAGGAGAAAATAGGAAAGAATCTACATCTGCCCATCAGTTTTCGTCTAAACATCTTAGGTCACAGATCTGATTCCAGGCATCCATGTGTCCCTCTATCCCCCCATCAAATATTTATTCTCACCCAGGCTATACTAAGAGGTAAGTGTGTCATGGTTCAGGGTTCCTTGTCTACTGAAAGCTTAACGTTCAGTGTAGAAGACAGGCGTTACCGAAACAGTCACAGAAATAATGTAGATTGGGAAGTGAGCAAAGGTAATGCGGACCTGATATTTAGGCGAGACCAAAATGACACCGTTTACACAGGCCCAATGTGGCTAAAACAGCGGACTCTCAAGTACAGGAGGTGGAAAAGACAGGCAAAGGACGGGGTATGCAAGCCCTTTAAGGTCAAAGTACTGGGTACGATTTCTTTTTCAAAGCAATGGATACTCAACAGAAAGTCTTAAGAGAGTGAGATGATCCGATTTATGTTTTATGAAAATGACTTCAGTTACAGACCTGACATCAGAAGTCCAGAAGACTGAATGGTGAAAGTGAAAGACAGATTTTTAAAACATACATCAGAAGTACAATTACTAGGAATTGCTGATAAAGAGGACGTAGGCAGAAAAAAATGGAATTGGCAGTGACTCCCAAATTAATGGGTTGATTTGTTACATCACAGATGAAAATGGGCTAGAATGCAGAGAAAGGGAGTTATATTTTGAAATGACTGTCAGATATGCAAACGGCATCAATTAAGTTGATCATCTGGATATATGAATCTCAAAGTTCAGGTGAGAGAAATGCACTAGAAATATAAATTTGCATTTCTCATTACTTCCTAGGGCAAGGGTATACATTGAGAATAGAAGAAGACCCTGAGGAACATTCGAGTATCAAGCAGTGGAGAAAAAGTACAAAGGAAAGAGAAGGAACAGCAAACGAGAAGAGGAAAACGGGATGTATGGAGTCGTGTAAACCATAAGAGCAGCTAGTTTTTTTGAGGGAGTGTTTTACTTTGCTGAATACTGCTCAGACGAACTAAAAACTACACACAGCCACAAACATCAAAGTCATTTATGAGTTTAGCAAAGTAAGTTTTGATATAGTGATGGGATGCAAAGCCAGAATGGCGTGCTAAAGACTTGAAGACAAGTAGAAAGGAAGGAGAGAGTTAGGGTACAAAGAACTCCTGGGAGAAACTTGCTCATGAAGCAAAGTAAAAAAATAAGGTGCTATTTTGAGGGATGTAGTGTCAAGGAAGAATTTATTTTGTGTTTTCCTTTCTGAATGTTTAAGATGGGAGGTATTAACACATATTTGAACACTTCTACCAGGAAAAGAAGACAGCATACCTTTAGAGAGAGTTGTATTTCTGCTGGGTAAGAAAACATAAGGAAAGGATGGGAAGCGAGTCACGTCTGGAAATCTGGCGATGAGAAATTGGGACGATTTTTTGCCTAGTGGTCTCTACTTGTTTACATTAAGGCTGAGGCAGACTGTCCTCCGGAGACTGGGAGATGGTGCATAAAGCACAGAGAGTAGGAGAGGAATGAGGGAGTCACCGCAAAGAAGGGGCAGCAACGCAACCAGAGGAAAGTAAGATGGCAGACCGAGCTGTGCTCGTGAATGCACAAGGACGCCAACGTGGGGCTGTGTTCTTTTCTTCAGCAGCGTCCTGGCACAGATGAGGTAAGTATCTGCTTTATTGAGAGTTAAGATTTGGCCAGGGGAACTGAAGGTACTAATAGAAAAATGATTAAAACAATGTGGCATGGAATAAAAGCTATATTCAGAGAAAAGCAAATATTTAAGGGGGATGATAAACAAAGAAAGGGTGGAAATCGATGCATTAGAAGTTTCAATGCAATAGTGGTACTTATGAAAGTTAAGGTAGAGCTAGTAAGAGGTTGTTATTACAAAGCAGACATGTCAGTACTTTCAGAGGTGGCAAGAATTTTACCTCCAATTTTAGAGCTAAAACCTGAGCACTTTGGTATAAAAGTGCTACATTTAAGAGCCCAGTAAGAAAACCCCTCAATTAGAAAGCCAGTATGTAATGTTGAATTAGTGAATTCAACAAGCAGAATGAATCTAGGCCTAAAGTTTTTCTTCGACTATATGAGAAAGATACTATACTCTTATACAGTGATATAAAATTTAAATAGAAAACATGTATTTGACACTATGTTTTTTTTCATTAAAAATTATTTACATAGCATAAATAGGGAAGTCTTACATTTAAAAACAGCTGTAAAATAGGAAACACATACTGTAAAATTTGTAACTCATTTTGGATGAACAATATTTTAAAATTTTAAAACAAAAGTGTTCTTTAGGCAAAAGTGACCTCATAATGAAGTTCAGAGATATTAAAAATGGTGAATAAGGATACAAGTGCCTCTAAATAGTTATTGATTGTGTACAATAATATTATCCAATTTGGCTCTGGCTGGCATAGCTCAGTGGATTGAGCGCGGGCTGCAAACCAAAGGGTTGCAGGTTCGATTCCCAGTCAGGGCAAGTGCCTGGGTTGGGAGCCAGGTCCCCAGTGGGGGCCACATGAGAGGCAACCACACATTGATGTTTCTCTCTCTTCCTCCCTCCCTTCCCCTCTCTAAAGATAAATAAATAAAAATCTTTAAAAAATATTATCCAACTTGGGGTTTAAATAAGATAGAACTAAATCAATGAATAAACATCACATACAAGTAGAGTACAGTTTTAGAAAAGAACAATACTGATTACTTGAGATTTAAAGTTAAGAACAGATATTAAAATGTCTACAATAACCAGCAATAGAATTGATATAGACCCCTAAGCTGGGGATAGAGATGGAAGGAAGAGAACCAGCCAAACACAGAAAAGAAAAAAAAAATTAAAAGTACCACATGAGATAATGAAATAATACAACTATAATTCTAATCGCAATAAAAATAAATGGGGTAAAAAATTCTAGTTGAAAGACAAGGGTGTTAAACTTGATTAAAACAATAAAAGCTAGTTATACATTTTTAAGAGATAAACCTTAAAAAAGGCACAAAATATTGAAAGGAAAGAACTAAAAAAGCACAGCAGTGAATACTAATCAATACGAAGCTCTAGTAATATCAGACAAACCAGACTTTGACAAAAATCATAATTAGATATAAAGAGGGCTAATAAACAGTGAGAAAAGATTCATTACTTGAACATCCCTAATAAAATAGCTTCAAAGTATTTAAAGCAAACACCGACAGAAATATAAAGAGAATATGATAATTTCACCATTATATACAGGTAAATTTTACCCTAATTCTTTAACAGATCAAGACATTTAAAAAAATCAGGAAGGGTACAGAAGCTTACTCAAGTGACATATAAACAATGATGTACTCCAAAAGTGGGGAATATGCCCTCTATTCAAGATTCCATGGAATTTATTAAAAATGACCATATTTGGGCAATGAGCTTAACTGAGTTTCTATTTTTTAACCTTTGGCCAGACATGCTTAGTGGTTTCCTGAAACTCCAAGAGAAACAGGGAAGGAAAAGTCAAGCAAACAAGGCACACTCCTCAGGTGTGGGGGAGGAGACAAGAAAGTTCTCTGTAAAGATAACAAGAGGGAATTCAGCTTTGCTGGGTATCACCCAGATATCCCTAAAAAGCCTACAGATGTCTTACAGGTGACTGCTGCGGATGCAGTATTATCAGTCTATTCCAGGTAGGGGAAAGGGAGGAGGGGTGCAACTGGTGGAAGGGAGTAAAGGGGGGAAAATTGGGACAACTGTAAAAGCATAAATGATAAAATATTTTTAACATAATAGTAATTCCTACTGATTTCTGGATTACCCGCACCCTCTAAGGAACTATTGAGCTGAAAAAAGGTAAAACAACTTAAACGGCATAGTCACTGATACGTAAACAGAAATGATCATCAGTCAAAACAGAAATGCAGTATCAGAAATATATAAAAACTTCCCTGGCTGGTGTGGTTCAGTGGATTGAGTGCCAGCTTGTGAACCAGAGGGTCATAGGTTTAGTTCCTGGCTGAGGCCCCAGCTGGGGGGTGTGTGGGAGGTGACCAATCAATGTTTCTATAGCACACTGCACTGATGCTTCTCTCCCTGTCTTTCTCACTCCCTTCCCCCTCTCTAAAAAATAAATAGCATCTCAAAATATATATAAAGCCTATTTATTTTTTAGCCTAAAAATTGTGAGTGATAGGTAGTTTGCAAAACTCTCTACTAAACACTGGATTTCAGAATCCGATCGCCTCTTCACCATTTTTAACGTAAACCACACTGGTTCAGGCCACCAATAAATCCCACCTGGGTTGTTTCAATGACTTCCAAGTGGACGTCATTGGAGACCACGGCCGCCAGGGCCCAGCATGACTGTCTCCTGCCCTTTCTCTGAGTCACTCTTCTGCCATGCTCACATTTGCTCAGTCCCAGAGCCAGTACACTGGCTCTGCTTCTCAACACCTAAGCTCTGGTTTTAGGGCCTCCGTCCGCGCTGCTCCCTCCGCCTGAAATGCTCTTCCCAGATCACCACGCGGCTGTTGCCTGACCTGCCTCATCTCTATAAAGATGGCACTTCCCCAGACAGGCCTTTACTGACTAACCTTTTTGAAATTGCAATGAACCCCGCCCCAACACTCCCTGTTATCCTTCTCTGATTAAGTTTTCTCCACGGAAAATAAATATTATCTCTTATATTACATATGAATATTATTGACTATTATCTGCCCAAACACAAGAATGTAAGTCAATGTGAAAACAAAGATTATGACTATACCATGCCCAGGACCTAGGAATAGTTTCTAGTAAATAATAACAGCTCAAAAAATAAGTGTGAACGAGTGAATTACTGAATCAATTCATCAGCACCTTAGCTCTCTGCAAGGGCAAAACAACTAAACTGGAGCTGAATGGTTGTTTAAAGGGCTCCGCCAAGCATTCTACAACCTTGTAGTTTAAAGTTCCTGTTTCGGTATTTTCTATTACATCAAAAGGTTAAGACAGCATACACACTTTGGTTAACAGTTACTAGTGAAAACAAGAGTCTTTCAATCATCAACAGTAACTTACACATTTTGACTAAATGTAATACATATACTGAATATGTTAAAAAAATCAACTGACCTTTCTAATGTCAAACGTGTTTTAAGCAGGAGTATGGAAGATTCTTCTCAAATTAGAAGCCTTAGAAATTCAACAGAACATACTAATGCTTCTGCAAACACAGTTCCAAATATACTTTTCAGAGCAGCACCAGCCAATAGGCCTGTTTTACCTCAAAAGTTAGCCTATTTATCTAAAAGGATTTAATTCTTCTATGAGTTAAAAACAGTTTTGTAATGTATTAGCCTTAGAATCAAAGCCATACATTTCCACAATGTAATCACAAACACCGACAATTACAGTAATGTTCGTGGACATGTTAGCAATAAATATTCTGAGTTTCTTTAATAAAATATTTAAGCCAGCTTATTTTCACATTGCATATGAGTCCATTTATATACCCAAAGCACCCATAAAATGCCTCAAATTGATGATCATCTGGTACTTTTTGCTGAGAGGAAAAGTCATAAATATGCATCATAAAGCAAGTTATTTAATAAAGTAGCAATATTTGGTTTATTAATCAAAATCGATGTTTTAAAAACCACCATAAAACGTGTATCTGGTAGGATTTCACCTCCGGGAAACTTGAAAAGCTCTGAACTCACCTCCAAAGTTTCACCGTCTGAACCCTCCTTCGTTTTAGACGCAGGAGGAGGGGAAGACACTGGAGGCAGAGGACTGCTTATAATCTGGGAGCTGGAAAAACAACAGGAGAAGTCACCGATATGAAACCTATTCAGTCCGGAAGAGAAGACACACATTTTTTTTTAAAGCACGGTTCACCTCAACTGTGTCAGGATAATGTACAACTTCCTAAAGCGTGTTCTGTGCTACACTAGGGTCACACTGTTCTTTGGAAACGAAGCTCCGTAGTCCGAGAACACAGGTAAGAGCCTCTTGGGGATGTATGTGCAAGTCTGCATATGACGGCATAATTTTTTTTTAAGCCCATTTTACTTTAATTGAGCATTTCAGCATTTCTTAAACAAATCTGTCCAAAAGACCACCCCTACCTACTTGATTATCTTTAAAAAAATTCGCAAATTAGTGACCAGCAAACCATGATTTGGGAAATACTGGGTTACAGTTTATACCCTACCATAAAATCTTAAGCAGACTCCTAAAGACCATTCTGTGTGGCATGAAGTAAGGAGGAGGGTAAGTGAGCGTGACTACGGACTGAAGGCCTCCACTGGACAGTAGGAGAAAATGCAAGGGGTCTCTTCTCTTAACAACAAAAATATAGAAAGCAGCCCAGAAAAGAAAAAAGTGTATTCTCATGTTTTTCAGTCCTTCCTCAAATGAAACACAAAAGATAAAAACAGCATTATCACAAAAAATTCAGAAATATAACCTTGAACCCATGTGATAATTGAAATAATTGGCCTGATTCAGAGAATCGGATTTCTAAATTTCATTTGGTCATTAACAACTCTCATGACCTTTCACAAAACACTTGATACCATTGGGCCTCAAAGTTCTCACCCAAATGTTCCTATTCATCTCAAAAATTTTAAGATTTTTATGGAAAGCACAATGGCAAAGTATAAAGAGCAGGGAATCTGGAGTCATATCCACCATTTGCAAGTCATACAGAGTTTGGGCCACTTACTTAACTTCTACTTAAGTCTTTGACACCTAAATGTGGGGTATGAATCCCAGCTCGGTGGATTACTGAGACAAGTCAACTCATGAAGACTACCTCACAGTGTCTGCTGAAGACTGAGTTCTTGTGAGTATTGTTACAAGCTGATTTAATTCAAGTAATATGCCATTCCTTTAGTATAACTACTAAAAAATGTAATCTATGATAAAATACTGGATTTCGCTGATGTGCCCTGTCTTTCATTTTATTTTTGCACTAATAATAAACAGTATTTAACACTCACTGATTCGATTCCCAGTCAAAGCACATGCCTGGGTTGCAGGCCAGTTCCCAGCAGGGGAAGCACGAGAGGCAACCATACATTGATATTCCTTCCCTTCCCCTCTAAAGATAAATAAAATCTTACCAAAAACAACCCACTCACTGAGCACTGTATGTCAGATGTTTTCCTAAATCCTTTATGTGCATTAACTCATCTGATCTTTCAACAACGCTTAAGGATCAGTTATTATTTATATCCCCATTTTTAAGATGACTAATTGGGGACACAGAGAGAATATGGAACTTATACAAATGTACACAGATAGTAAGTGGCAGAGTTAAGATTTTAATTTAGGCAGTTTGACTTCAGAGCCTGCAAACATTTTCCTGTGCTTTGTGGATGCACATGACGTATCACTGGTAAAACCTCAAACTCAGTACCAGCTAGGTCTGGGCCCACCTGGGGAAAATGGAAAAAGACAGTCTGAGAAGGAAGGAAACTGTCAGATCTGACCACACGCCCTCCCCAGATAATCATACCTATCTATTTCTGCAGAGTTTATTCCAGCATTTGACCCGCTCTCTGACACTGAGCCCTGACTATCCTTCTTGGTAGGTTCTAATCCATTCTTTATATCATCAAAATTTTCATATTTGAGAGCTTGGACCAGCTGTAATAGGTACATCAACAAGTCCTGGAAAACAAACAAAAAAGAACATAATATTAGAAAAACAAATGCAGTGTGTTATAGACATAATTTATTCCTAAATACCAAGCTAACAACTCACTTTATCACTTACCAGCTATGTTACCTTGACCCATCACTAGGATACTAACCTTCTGGCGTCTCACTAGGTCCTCATCCATAAACTGGACATAATCCCACAGGCATCAGAAATGAGGTATGAAGATTAAATCAATTAAAAGAAGAGGCTGGCACAGAATACGTGGCCAGTAAATGCCTGATTTAAAGCAGCATTCAAAAAGCAAAGCAAAAAGCAAAAACAAAGCAGGAAAAGGATTGAGACTGTTATTGTCAAACTAAGAAATTACGACAGGATCCCTTTTACAGCAGTAAATCAAGTAACAATATTTTATACCTAAGATTACATAAGAAACTGCAAATTTTCAAGTTTTTTAAGGCTTTATTTCATAATCTTTTCTGGTTAGAATTTTTAAAAGTCTGGCATTCCTTTTATTTTTCCTGAAAACTCAAGTTTTAAAGAATCTGGGTTGTTTCTTAAAGTCCTACAAAATAGGTATTTTAACACTTGTGGTTAAGCAAAATACTTACTTTCCCAACAACTTCCAATAACAATTTGAAGAAAACAAATCCCAAAGCCTAAATTTCCCATGTCTCTTGACTATCGATGGGATAATTAGGTCTGAAAATATCAACAATGTAGCTTTTACTTTTCTGAGTGTCCCCTGACATAAAAATACTCTTTAGGTTTATTATTTAGGATAGAAATATTTCCTGTCTCACTCTATAAATGTGGTTCTTAGCGGTTCCCAATGAGTTTTTAAAGTACCTATTATCTTCCAGTCCCAACTGTCACTCACCCAGTCAGCTCCTCTAAACATGTAACTACCAATTCCATTCGTCTCTTCAGCCCACAAACCAAGGTCACCCTCCCGGAAAAGCGTCATGAGGCCCCCTTTCCTTTCCTATCTGTAATGTACCTACAGCACCTGTAGTTCTACTTGCTTTGCTCTTTGCCTTTTCCACTGTATTATAAACTCCAAGAGGGCAGAGACCACTTTCCAACAACCTATTTCTCCTTCCTTAATAGCACAGTATGTTTTTTCACTATTTTTTCTTATGCTGATATACCCCAAATTTTTATCACTAGCCAAATACTAACAGAGTAATACCCATGATTTCACCACTAAATGATTTTTTCACAAGAAAATTAAATGAGTGCTGAACTGGCTTGTTGATTTCCTATTCAAATATATTAATCGATGTCAGTGGCCAGGGAAATCAAGTGAGTGTACAAAGCACCTCTACAGTGTACTGTGGTTTCTAAAAACTATTTTAATTAGAGCAATAAACATCTGATTTACTATTGTTTTATTTGAAATTTATGGCATCTAACAGCAATAGGCATGGTTCCATGCTTTTTCTAAGAAAAAAAAAAAGAGTGAATTATGGAACAGAAAATTGATACATATATTCAATGACAAGTAACCTTCCTAGGAGGTAGAAGTAATTCAGTTTCATCGATCATCTTCATTACCAAGGCATGCTTCGGAAATGTTGCTGATTGTATCACTGTGTGTACTGTATTTTCTTAATTGCAGAAAAGACTTATCATATGAAATTAAAAAAGCAGCACTGTTATTAAATTCCCCAGGAAGGACAAATTCAGAGAAAACTTTACTCTTTTTAAGTAACTCATCACCATCTGATTTGTTGGTCATCTGGATTCTAGATTCAAACTACACTCCCCTTCATTTGTATGGAAATGAATTAAGTTCAACAGAAAATACGAAGACTGTTTGCTCATTATACAGTCCCATCTTGAAAAACATCAAGTTCCTCCAAGCATGAAGGACATAGCATACAAGTAAAACAAACAAACAAAAAAAAGAAATCGGGTTTCCATCTCAGACAATTCAGTAAGAATTTCCCAAGAGCTATGAAATATTATCTAGATAGTGATCACCATTTTTCTCCAGAAAAAGTTAACTGTAATGCTCTGGGGTGCAAATGCAAAGTCTTTGGGAAAATCACTCACTGACTTCTCATTTCGTACTGAACGGAGAATAACTCTGCATTTACAGTTAGAGACATGGGTTTTGATCCCGACTCACAGCTACATACAACCCACATACCTGTTAAAGTGAAATACTTTCTATTTTTCCTGCACTTTTCAATCACCTTGCCTTTGCTCACACTGCTCTCCTCACCTGGAATGTAAACTCTTGTCCAACTGCGAAAATTCTATTCTTCCTTCGATGCCTCTCAAATGCTATTTCCTCCTCACTTTCTAATAGGGAACCTGTCCTTTTGAGCCACACAGCAATAAAAGATATGTTTTTAAAAATCTTCTAAGTAGCTCTGGCTGGTGTGGCTCAGTGGATTGAGTACCAGTGTAAGAAGTAAAGGGTTACCAGTTCGATTCCCAGTCTAAGCCATATGCCTGGGCTGCAGGCCAGGTCCCCCATAGGGGACACATGAGAGGCAACCACACATTGATGTTTCTCTCTCTCTCTCTTTCTCCTTCCCTTTTACTCTCTAAAATTACATAAATAAAATCTTTTAAAAAATTTCCTAAGTAGAATATTAGCAAGTCAAATTCAGAAAGGAATTAAAAGATTAAAATTTATTTTACAAATGTACAGCTAGTATAGCATTAGGAAAACTATAATCATAGATTCCATATATTTACTATATATATCTCATGTCTTTCAGATAGCATGATGCTACACAGCCAAAAACAGGAACCCATCTAACACCTATTAGAATAAGCTTAACCACTAAACCAACAAGGTAAAATACAAATATTAAACAAAAACACAGCTTTCCACCTAACTAACAAAAATAAGACATAAAATGGGTAAAGTAATTCATAATAGTAATTGTCACCGAATAAATCTAATTTTTTAAAAAAACACGTAAAATAGTTATAAAATCACAGCTTGAATTTTTAAAAATCCTATCTCCAAGAGGAGAGATTTAGTATTATAAAGATAGCAATTTTTCCTTAATTAATATAAAATTTTAATGTAATTCCACTTAAGATTTTGGTGGAGTTTTAAGAAAATGATAAAATTTTAAATTCTTGAGAAGAATAAATGTACAAAAAGTATAGAAGTAGATTTCCAGGTATTCATGAAGTCTGGAAACACAGTTTGTTTGTTCTTTTACAAATTACACACAACTTTGACATCATTTGACTTTATATTCGTTAGTCCGTTTCCAGCCTTCATAGATACCAAATGCATGTGTTGACAGTGAGAAAGTGTCCAAGATTATACTGTTAAGAGTGAGGCAAGTTTCTCACAATATATTCACAGGATATACATATTTATATTAATTTATTAAAAAGTACATATACTGTACATACATACATATGCTTGCAATTTGCACAGCATGAGAATATATGAAAAAATTGATATATGAGTGGCGACCCTTCTGGGGGAAAGAAATTGTTGGAGGAGTGGGTCCTATATTATTTCTTTCACAACTGAAAAGCAGAGTAAATGAGAGAAAAAAGGTTAACATTACAGCAAAGGAAGAAACCAAATGCTGTGGGCGCTAAAAAGAAACAAGCCCGAAAGCTGCTTGCTCCTGGGACGGCTAAGGGAAGCTTCTCAGAGGCAGCGAGCCCCGCGCTCCAGCTGGGAGGGCGGACAGAAGAACGACAGCCGGGGCACTGCAGAGACACAGGTGGAGGCACTGCTGCCGGAGAGGCTGTGGCACTTCCGAGGCCTTGGACCAACCGTCCAAACGTGGAACATCCAGTTGGCCAAAGTGTAGTTATTTAGACACGATGACCTTTGATGCACTTTTTGATGCTACAATGTATTATTCTATCATCTTTTTTAATACCAAAAAGATTTGGTTTTAAGTTTATAAACTATAATGTACTCCACAGATGCAGCAAAAGTCAAGGGGAAATTTTAAACCAATTAGAAATGAAAGGCACAACTTAGATGATTTGAGCATAAAATTGACATAATATAAATGTGCAATCTTTATGGACATGTGCATGAATACACTTTTCAAAACTCTGCCCCACATAATTTTTTCTTCATAATTATCAAGTGACATAAGCAACTATTCTGTCTGTTTTAATTGGACAGGAAACTGAGGTGAGAATAATACAGGGGTGGGCAAAAGTCAGCTGGCAGCTGTAAGTAAGCAAAACACAGTTTGTTCCTGCACTATTATTTATTGTATCATTTTCCATAGAAACAAATGTAATCCTACTTCTGCCCACTCCTGTATACAGTGTTCCCAAAGACATACATAGCTATACTGAGTCAGAGGAAAGCAAAATTCAGATCTTAATATATAGTACATCTAACAAACCAGTAGTAACAGAATTAAAGACTTTTTTAGCTGAGTAAATGTAACTCATAACTAAATTCAGAGGAGAAATCATGAGCTAACTTATTCACATACTAGTCGTTATGTTGTATCTCTAAAACCTCAAAACACGAACACTCAGTAATTGAACTGCATTTTGCAGTTTGGGATGCACGCAATGTTTCTATCCTCTTCCTCACAACTAAAGCTATGAAATGGTCTAGAAATAGCTCAGTACCTACATAAGCACTGATAACTCCAGACACAAATACTTAGCCTCTAAGCTTGAAGGAACTAAGCCAGACAGTCATGAATGATTTACAATTCTTCTATTTAAATTCTGGACCTACACTGAGGAACTGAGTTGACTACACCCCAGAGGCCTTTATCTGAATTCTATGACTTGTGTCAAACAGTGAGAGAGAATTAATGACTTCAGTGAAATGTCTAATGAATTTCAAAATAAATATTTTGATATTTCAAATAAATATTGAAATGCATTTTTTACTTGTGCTACAGTAAACACAATTAGGAAGAAGATAATATGAAACACATTGCTTACAACTGCTCTTTGATAGGAGAGTAAACAATACCCCAGTCTGATAAACTCATACAACATCTGAAGTTGGGGACATCTGATGTCAGTTGAGGACTTGGAGGGGACGTCCTCAAAGTCATCTAACGGAGGGCAGGGAACGGTTACAGATGAAAGGAGAAGGGCTACGAGTTCACAGCTGTTCAGGATGGCGACTTACAGGTGAGCACCCAGCACACCACTTAGGTTAGTGTGGACATTTTACTATAATACATACGTACAAATATCAACCTTAATAAACACTGTGTTCTGCTTCTTGTAATTCAAACACCATTACTAATTCAAAAGGATTTAATTACTTCTCAGTCAAGGTCTCTGATCATAACCGTTCTGTGGGATCGGCATTCCTATACACATATAGAGGCTTGAGAAGACTTATCCCACACCCAACAAGCCTTGCAGGCTAGCAGGTTAGGTTATGTTTGAGAGCACATTCACACTATAAAAATTAATAAGTAAAAAGTTACTAAAATTTTTTAAAGTATTTTGAATTACTAAAATTCAAAATCCAGCAACACTTCGAGACCACACAGAATGTTCCTCCTTCCTAGTGGCCTTGGGGTATAAAAACAGCCCATAATGAAGTCTGTGATCTTTGCTCTGCAGAGGATTCAAAACCGTCCTCCGGAATCTACATACACACATAATTGTCAGCGACTGCAAGTTTAAAGGAGTTTGAAGGAGCGCAAGATGCCCACGCATCTCTATGCCTTAAAGGCCACAAGGGCTTCTCAAGGCTACAATTAAATATGGCTTGTTGTATACTGACTAATAGAAGGATCTGAATTATTCCCCAGCTGGTGCTGCAAGAAGCCATTTTTCATTAGAATTCCTTTTTCCAGACAGAGCGATACAAGCTCTGCTGCCGGGGAAATGTCCGGGGAGAGATTGTCCTATCATGAAACAGATCAGGAAGTAAATTTTCATTTCACCGAGGAGTCCCTGGAGGATATTTTAATTTTACTTCTGAAAACACACCTAGTATATCCTCTCCCCTCTTCTCTCTCTCTCTCTCTCTCTCTCTCTCTCTCTCTCTCTCTCTCTCTCTCACACACACACACACACACACACACACACACACACACACACACTCAGAGTCTGCAACCAGGCTCTAGTTTAAAACGCACCCAAAGAGGAATGAAGAACAGTAACGAACCTCGTCATCCGCCTGCCTCAGCCGGGCCACGGCGTAGCAGCGCACTGTTGGATTGGTGTAATGGGAAGACAACAGCTCCAAGGAATCCTCCACATCCATTGGCTTCCACTTCCCCAGAAGTTCCAATGCCTGTTTGGCCTCCTGAGGTAGATCCCAATTGACACATTTCAAGAACTTTGTCAAAGCCTGAAATCAGGAAAGATTTTAAAGTTAGAAACAATAGCCTATTACCTGGGGTAGGGGAGGTCAAGGATGACTAGGCAGAGTTCCAGGTGGTCCAGATGGAAGAGACAAAGAGTAAACAGTAGACTCCTTATGTAAACACAGGGCAGAAAGAGAAAAACGCCTGATGCCTATATGCCTCTAACTTCACAGACCAAACTACTTTCAGAGCACTGCACATTGAAAATTTCCTTTGGCTTTTCTGCATTTGTTATGTTAAAATATTGTGGCCTGGAAATAGTTGAAGCATGCATGTCTTACGAACTCTGAGATGCCTTTGCGACAACCTTCACTTTACAACATCTACATGTGACAAAAAGGAGCCAATGAATAAAAAGGTCCAAAGCACACGAGGAACTACTAACCCCACCCCTGAATATTTCTCCAGTCTCTGGGTTTCCTCAATGCTCACATACATGAAGACTCAAAATAAATTATTTGGTTTCTCTTCACAAAGTAAGTATTTAAAAAGACAATCCAATACAGACTCCACAGAAACAAGAATAAAAACAGATAAACACAGAAGCAGTAGCAAATATTCTATGATTTCAGTTAGCTGTCTGGAGCATCATTCTGGAACCTCACTTCCTTACATAGGTAGCATCCTGAAGTTTTCACTAGACGGTCAGGTAAGTAAATTGCCTTGAAAAACATCACTCATGGCTAATAAATGCCCTTTAAAGAAAGGTGCATACTTGTCAACAATTCAATGATTCTGGAAGTCTTCTGCACTTTTAGCTCTTCCTTTAGTAGTTGCCTTGATCTTACCACCTTCATTTAAACGCTGCAGTTCTACCTGCTGAATGAATGCCTTTGAGGACATCCTGATCTCTGCAACTGTCCTACATTCCCAAGGGCAGCGATCCATTCCTCCTGCACATGCTATACACTGTTCATACCATGTTCCATGTCCACGTAAGAACACAAAGTGCCACAGTAGCAATCCATGCAATTAGTTTTCGCTTCTCAAATGTATTTCTAGGTTGAATGTGGAAACAAACCAATACCTCTTAAATAACTACAGCGAAAGGTTTTCCATTCCATAGTACATCAGCAGCAGCAATAGAAACATGTGACTGTGTGCTTATCATAAGCAAACCTTGCAGCAAGCCGATATCCTCAGTTCAATAACTGTAACAATCTTGCTCCCAGATGCTCAGATTTACAGACTTATTAGCACAATCTACAACATACACTACTGCCAAGAAACTGAGGGCACTACAGAACGAATTCCATAGCTTTCCGATGCTAAGTGCTACAAATGTAAACAAGGAGACAGCAGAATGAAGAAGGAAACAAGAGGAATGAGGAAGACAAAAGTATAAGAATCTGAAAATAGCAATACTAATGATAGTTCATCTCAAATCCTTAAAGATGCTGTATTGAGACCTATGTAAAGGTACAGCATTCAAATGTAATGTTATCCTTAGAGCTTCCATGGATAACTGGAGCGTACATACAGCTTGACAGCCAGTGCGCCTGGGTTCAAATCCTAATGCCCAGCTCCACCAACTATTAGCTGAGTTATCTGGAGCATATTGTCCAACTTTTCAGGAACCTATCTCCTAAGCTTCTGGTGAAAATTAAATTAGTTATTAAATACAAATGTTTAAGACAGTAACTTGTACATAATAAATTCTTGATATATGTTAATTTTATTGTCAAATATTAGTTATTCTATATCTGACATTGAATCCAAGTCAAATGTTAACATTACTGCATTCATTACCATGTTTTATATTAACAGCAATAAATATTTTTGTTAACCTCCCTCTGATCTTAGAATCACCTCACTGGTATCTCCTATTCTTACAATCATAAGCACGATCCCTTTAGAGCGGAATACACTGTATTTATCATATACATTTCTAATTTTAACTTCTACCAACTCAATTCTAAAAATTCCCACTTTATCGTTAAAGGGAAACCTATTTCTCTACTGAAGACACATTGGATCCAAATGTGTGGGTTTCCCACACCATTCAGTCCCCTAATTCTCTGAGGACACCCACCAGGTGTCCTACCACGGAACTCAACCCTGGCACTAACTCCCTGGAATCACCGCAGATTCCAAGGGCAAAGGGGCTGGTCTCACAAGAATACTTCCCATTTCAAAATCAGCACATTAAATCTTGTAATTATACCCCTTTTTTCCCACTCTCGGCTCTGCTCCAATCTACCCTGGTTTGTCTTCCTTAAAATATCACTTGTAAAGACACATTCTATTGCTCTAGTAGTTTTCTACTGCCAGTGAGATCCAACCCGAGTGAGCACAGAATTCAAGGCTCATCACAAACGGCCTCCATGTCCTCCCCTTTCCATCCATTCATGAAGGGTCAGAGACTGCCTCTAAACCTAACACGCTGTGTAACTCTTGCTTTTCTCTCCCATGAGACATAGTCACCAAATAAAAAATACCACAAAAGCTTACTCAAATGGTAAGACCAGTCTTCGCTCTGTGAAACCTGCTTCACAACACAGCCCACTGACCTTGTTTTACTCCACATTTCTATTATAGTAGCTACCTCAATGTTTACTAAGAGAATAACCCTCAATCTACTATCCTCCACTTCTCCATTCTGATTGTCTTTATAAATGATAGTTCCCTGAAACAGTCTAAGTTTATATGAAGACAGAGAAATGATATCTGAAGCCCAGACTTCTGAATAATACTAGGCCAGGAGTTGAAAACAAATGCTTGCTGAAGTGAATTCCTCCCCCTCGTGGTTCGTGGACAACTTCTTGTCAGGAGGTGAAAACCAGATGGTGCCCGGGAGTCCCGACATCCCTGTCCGGCAGTCCCGACGTCCCTGTCCGGCAGTCCCGACGTCGCTGTCCGGCAGTCCCGACGTCCCTGTCCGGCAGTCCCGACGTCGCTGTCCGGCAGTCCTGACGTCGCTGTCCGGCAGCAGGCCCAGCGGCAGCGTCTTCGGCACACGCGGTGCACCGCTCTCACCTGTACATGTAGGGCTCTTCCTACCACACTTTTCCCAAACGCAGTGAAAAGGCATTACGTAAGCATACCAGTAATCTTTTAGTTAATATTTTTATAAGAAGAAAAAGGCCATTTACCATGGTAAAAAGCGGGTTTTGAAAGGTTACAAAATTCACATTTTGGGTTCCATAAAAATGAGTCACTTCTTAAAAGCTACGAACCATAAACTTTAAAATACTCCATAAATTTTACTGGTTGTGTTGCACAAAGCGATTACTGTGAACTTCAAGTGCAGCGTCGAGTTTAAACCAGAGAGTTCTCAACTGAAGTACTGAAGGCTCTGTTTGCCAACAGGCCCTGACACACAGTCACGTAGGAAAAAAATAGGTGGAAAGGCCAAATTTAACTAAAAAATAAATAAGTAAAGCTTTGTAAGAAGCAATTTCCACCAATCTGTTTTATGAGCACAGCTTTCTCTCCAGAAAACCTTTTAGCCTCAGGGCCCAAGTGCCAACTCACCTAAAGCCCTGTTCCTGGGAAACTGACACTGAGAAAAATAAATGAAGGGACCAGGGTCCAGGCGCATTCGTTCTCTACGAGACCCATTTTAAATTATTACAAAGATACAAATGTAGCTGTGTGAATAACTTCTCCGGTCACATCAAGGCCAATATATTGAAAAGTACTTCCCAAACATTAAAAATACTGTTCACTAGTGCCAGGTGATCGGAAGAACCCTGTAATATGTCCTGGGAATTGAAGTTCCATCAGCCACTTTCTGAAAACTTGAAATGAACTAGTTAAATGAAACTTGTCACACACTTAATATCACTTGAGCATTTTATTGCTTTTGCACATACCTAGAAGTAATTGAATTTCAGTAGGAAGTGACTACTTTTTAAACAAACAATTTTTCTTGTAAGCCTTTCTATCTAAGGCAGTTCTGCTCTGTAAATCTATTCTATGCTTCTTGAGCCTATACATTCTAACAGCTCAATCCAATTTCGAGCTGTGTATTTTAGACAAGACTGTGCTGCATTCAAGATACAACTTCTGTGACCAACGTTACTCTTCATTTAACAGAGTATCATTTCCTAAATCAAAATTTTTAAACATGAAACCACAACCCTGTGATTCTACCAATGACTGTCTCCTTTTTTGTGATGGAGAGAACAACACTCGAAGCTGTAGTAAATTGAAGATTCTTCTCTCATGCTTATTATGGATATAAAGAGGACGAACATGATTCAACTACAACAAATTTTCAAAGGCCTGGATAAAAGATAAAGAGGAAAAGCTGAAGAGTGAAGATGAGCTGCCGCTGGATTTTTATCTTTACTTTTGTAATTAAGAAAATACTATTGTTTCAGAAAAACAAGTTAAAGCAGCTAAAGACCACTGCGTGAAACTGTAAAACATATTTATTCTCATGTAAATACAGAATAGCTTTCTGACAGATACTAATTTTCCTTATGCTTCTGTTTTGCCCCCAATGCATTTCCTAATTCCTGCCAAGGCGTGTGCACAATACTGCAAATATGCAAATATTTTCTCTCCAATCCCCTTTTCCGTCTACTCTCATTCGAACTCATGAATGTGAGCACATCAAGGAGCAGCACTGACAAGCTTTGTGATTCTGCGCAGGTTCCCTAATCTCAGCCACAACTGTCCTCATCCTCAGAACAGCAGCAACGACACGGAAACTGGGCGGCGGCTGCAGGATATGAAGATCCACGGCGTGAAGGGCTGTTTAACAGACACTGACTGTTAGTATCATATTTCAGAGTTAGTCCTTGAACCTTGAAACGTTTTAAGAATTTACAGACTATTTTAAGAAGTGGAAGAAACTTAATGTTCACTATTATTTAATCAATTCATTATATATGAGGAAATTAAAGCTTAGGTGAAATAATCTGCCTGCAGTAAAAAGCTTCTTAGTGGCAGTACTAAAAATCAAAACCAAGTTGGCAGACTCAAGTCTAGTTTAGCTGAGTCCCTCACCATAATTCAGCCTCTCCAGAGACTTTACCTAAATCCATGGCTTCACTGTGGAAAGCAAATGTCTAGTTCCGTCCGAGCCTCATCCTGCACTCCAAGCAGGCAATCACTCTACCAACTCAATTTACAAATTTCAGATTACATTCACGTCCTCCAGGTTCTGTATTTCCTGTAACGATGCAAACATTTTGCCAGTGAACCCAGGCTCAAAGAGAGGAGAAGAAAAAAGCAAATCAACATTGACTCTGCGCCTACTCTTCGGCCAGGTTATTCACCTGCATTATCTCACCTGTGAAGGAGGGTCTCACCACGAGCCCTTGGCCTCACCTCGCCTCGTGATGAGAAGGTGTGGGGCCAGGACCTACACCCACGTCTCTCTGACCCAAGCTGTTCAGCTGCTGTCTACACATCAACAGAAGGTGCATGTGCCTTTGTGCGCCTATGTCTGTAATTTTGTAAAATGGAGTATCATACGTATTGTTCTGTGACAAGAATTCTTTATTTCCCTCACGGTTTTGCCTCATCTTCATCAGCAACAGACTTGGTAGATATGTGGTATGTGAACATTCAAGAAACTTACTTTTTCTTGGTTAGTAAGGTAGTATCTAAACTTCCAAACGAGATCTTGTTCTTCATATGTAAGCTGCTTGGTTGGTGGGTAACTCACAATGATCTGCAACCAAGAAAAAAGAACGACTTTTGTCAAACGTTCTTCCTATGTATTTCCGTTTCACTTAGCATTTTTCATTTATCTACATACTTCTATCCTAGAACTACCGTAGAGCCAAGAAGAATGTGCAGGTAGCCTACTATGGCCTCAGTTTACCGTACCTATCAGTCTGAAAAGGATTATTACTAGGTTGTAAAGGGGAGAAAAAGAGAATATGAAAAAGTTGAACTCTGTATGAAGGTACATGGCAACAGAGCTAATTTATTTAAACCAAAGTAACTACAGCCTCCCCACTCAAACAGGAAATGTCCGAACAATAAACGTTTCTCCTGTGGAGGCAGCTGCACAGCGACCTGTGTGCGCACACCAACGCCCCCTCAGGCTCTGCACCGGGGCCAGTTTCTAACGGCGCCATGTCTGTCCGCAGGACCAACATACTCACCAAATAATACAGAAACTTAAAAGTTTTGAAATTACTTCGAGTTCATTAAATTGGGGGAAAAAACACGTGAATCACATTTAAGTGAAGTGGTATTACAATTGTAACCAAAATAACCATTTAATTGTTTTTACATTAATAGTTTATAAATTCTTACATTTAGCTGATCTCTTGTGGCAGCATTAGGCTTGAGATCATGGTCAGAAGGTCCACTTCTTAAACTCCGGGCAAGCTTGTGATGTTTGCTCTCAACCAAGTTCTCCTATTAATTATTTAAAAGTAATAATCAACGATGTAAACATCACCAAAAGGAAGCTTCAATAGCCAGTCAGAAATAGAAAAGTAAACAGTTACCTACGATCATTTTATCATACTTGATATTTTATTTTGGTTGCGACTCTTGCCTCCTATGTTTTCAAAACACACCACCATTCTAAGCGGAGGAAACGAAGCCCGTGCTACACTTCCCGAGTGCACACGCACGTGCCACCCCTGCCCTTTAAAACACCTGCCCCCGTTTCCCAGGTAGCAAGGTTTGTGTACCCTCCCCACTCAAACACTCCTTCTCCCTAAGCACTTCCCTGACAGCCCAGACTAAAGCATCCCCTCTTCCAATCAGCTACCAACACCTTGTGATGTGTTGTAGTACCATCATCTTAGCGGTTTAACTCCCAGTGGTAACTTGAGGGTGGGGACAATGACCATATTTCATTAAATATACTTGGTGCTATTTTACCCATGGCCAACATAATTTGCTTTAAACATACTGTCTTTGCTTCAGAGACTTTTTGTTTTTACATTTGCAAATTGTCTGTTCATGTCTTTTTCCTAATTTTCAACTGGCTTTCTGGACCTTTGTTTTTTAGTATTTAATAGTTCTTTATATATTGACATGTGCCCCTCTGTCTGTGACGTAAGTCACAGAGTTTCTCCCAATTTATCAATTGTCTTTTGACTTTGTTTTTGGAGTTTCTGCTATGTGGTCAATTTTTTTAATGCAGTCAAATTTATTAATCACATCTTTCCCTGCCTCTGGATTTTGAGCCATCATTATAAAGTTTCCTTCCCTACGCCAAGGGAAAAGTACCAGTTGAGTTTCATGTTTAACACTTAAATCCCTGATTCATTTGGGATTTTTCCTTATGAATGGGATGTTTGACATATGGATTTAATTTTATCTTTTCCACATGGCTAATCAGTTCCAGGGCACTATGCTTCGGTAAGGAAATGCCACTTTTATTATATGCTGACCCTCATACTCATATTTACTTAGATCTACTTCTAAGCTTTTTAATCGGTTCCACCAATCTGTCTGTGCAAGTGCAAGGGCAAGTGCTGCACCTGAAATTCTAGAAGATTCATAGTCCGTTCTGTTTGAGACCCGGTGAACGGGCTCAGTGGCAGTCCAGGTATTGTGTCAAAATGCACTCCTCTATTGGGTAAGTAATCATGGCTTCAAACTGAACTGACTTTTTTTTTTAGCACAGAGGGTGAGGAGAGTGATTGCTTTTTTTAAAAAAAAAAAAAAAAAACTTCTCGCCCTGGCTGGTGTAGCTCAGCGGATTGAGCACAGGCCTGAGAACAACACGATCGCAGTTCGATTCCCAGTCAGGGCACATGCCTGGGTTGCAGGCCAGTTCCCAGCAGGGGATGCACAAAAGGCAACCACACACTGATATTTCTCTCCCTCTCTCCTTCCCTTCCCCTCTAAAGATAAATAAAATCTTTTAAAAATTAAAATAAACTTCTCTTTTGTGCCTGCTTGCTGCATTTAAAAATTAAAAAAACAAAAACAAAACAGGAGTCCTAGTTCTTTGTTTTAAAATTACATCATCTATAACATCTGAACTGTATCTGTTGAGCATTTTCTTTAGAAAAGAACACATTCGGTATACAGACATCTCATGTACCGGACACGCTGGCAGGAGTGACACAAAGTAATACCTAAGATGCCGGTTTGACAAAACCTGTTTGCTCTTGGACACTCTGAAGGTAACCACAGGGTTCCTCCATTCACATGTTTCAACTATCCAAAATGCAAAATATAATTTGATTTTATAATGAAAATTCAGTTTCAAATTAAGATATATTGACTCAATTTTATTATGCTGTGAAGAGGCTCCATGACGGTATTTAGGGTGTTCGTTTCTAAGATTCCCAAAAGTGACCTTTCCCCGTAACCTTTCATGCTCTTTTCCCATCTACCTTTTCTTTTGACATTGGGTCATCAGCCATTACCTCTTGGCTTCAATGATCTGCATGCATGTACCTCAGTCATTGTGTTTTCAATCTGCCAATATGCTCCTTTCAACTTACTTTGGCCTAATTAGAAAGGTAACTAATCTAATTAGGAATGCATAAAGTAATAAGAATGAAATGGTTCAGAGTGATGTAAATGAGTTCGAAGTATGAATATCAAAATATCTACTGTGCTGTTAAAAGGATGTTCCCCCCCACCCCGAATTCTTACTCTTCATATCCACGAAAGATCATCTCACAAACTCAATACGGAGGCATCTCAAAATCATCTGAGACACCACGACTCAAACTGAACATTTCTAGTAACTACAGTGACCCTCTGTGTTTTACAACTAACCCAGTCTCCCTAAATTTTCATCCACTGATCCTATCACATCCTGGTATAAACCAAGTCCCCTTATGTATGATGACGATCTTTCAAATACAGGCGTTTTGACTTTACTCAATCTCTCAGATACTGCATTTTTAAACTACTAAAGGTCTGCAGCAACCCTGAGTCAAATAAGTCTGTAGGTACCATTTTCCAATGGCATCTGTCTACTTTGTGCCTCCGTGTTACATTTTAGCTGTATTTCACACTTTTCGTTACTGTTGTATCTGCTATGGTGGTCTGTGGTCAGTGATGTTTGATGCAGCTATTGCAACTGTTTTGGGGTACCACCCACTGACACACATATAAGACAGCGAACTTCAGTGATAGATGTGTGTGTTCTGACTGCCCCAGCAGCTGTTCCCTGTCTCTCTCCCTCCCCTCGGGCCTCCCTCTTCCCTGCAGCACAACGATACTGAAGTCGGGTCAGTCAATAACCATACAACAGCCTCTAGGAGTTTAAATGAAGAGTCACACATCTCTCACTTTAAATTGAAAGCCAGAAAAGCTTAGTGAGGAAGGCATGTCAAAAGCTGAGAGAGGCATCTTACACTAGTTAGCTGAGTTGTGAATGTGAAGGGAAAGTTCTTGAAAAATATTATTTAAAGGGCTACAGTAGTGAACACACAAGTGATAAGACAGCAGTAGCAGCCTTACTGCTGACAGAGAGAGTTTCAGTGGCCTGGACAGAAGATCACACCAGTCACAACATCTCCTTATACCAAAGTCAATCCAGAGCAAGGCGCTAACTCTCTTCAACTCTATGAAGGCTGACAGAGGTGAGGAAGCTGTAAAAGAAAAGTCTGCAGCTCGAAGAGGTGGGGAACCAAAAAGTCTGCGTGACTTGCTTTGCTGCGACATTCACTTCATTGCAGTAGTGTGGGACCAACCACGCAGTGACACCGAGACCTGTCCCCCACAGGGCTCACTTCATGACCACCTTCCCTCACTCTCTCAATTACCGGAATACAGTGGTTTCCCCACATGGCACTATCCTGACTTTGTTCTTACATGTTAACACTTCTTGTAAAAATCCCATCTGAACTTGATTCCAGATAGATGAAGTAGATTATAAATCACTTTTAGATAGCTGAGGTACTTTACAGTTACACTTTTTAAAATGAAAATGCATATCAATGGAAGTAATAATCACTCTGGAGTGATTTGACAGTAACTCACCATAGACATCTGAGGGTCAGGAACTTTCACTATCTCAAAGCTTGTTAAAATTGGAGACGATTCATCACCATCCTGGGTTACAGTGCAATAAATTAAAATAAAGAAACAGACAACTAAGTTAAAATTTAACCAACTGGTAAGAGACAACACATTGTAACAGGGTATACCCAAGTGGGATCCAGAGAAGGATGGCCCCAAAAAAGGAACTGGAATGGGATTCAGAACTCGAGGTGTCTAGGAAACATTAGAAAGACATGTAAGATGTCCTCACCGTTTCCCCACCACAAATGTGAGTTGGGGGAAGGGACAAATGGAGCTGGGCTATTGAGAGCTGTTTTATATAGCCACAGCTTTGCAGCTAACCTCTGGCATGGCCATTTAACATATCTATAACCTTCGACTCATTTCATGGATATGTTAAATAGCTATGGCCATGCTTTGAGCCAGGGGGATGGAAAGGGACTTCCCCACAAGATGTAACTGGGGGGCAGGTACCCCGAGTTACAGTGCCTGCACGGGACCTTGGACAAGATTGGCTCGATGACATGAGGCCATCCATGCCTGCACAGACTCACAATGGCAGCCCAGTAAAGCTGGAAGGATATGGGTGTGCTGGCAAGTGTAGCCAATTGTAGGAGGAGCCGCAAATGGGGCTGCAGAGGAGGACTGGCTCGGGGATTTAAAACCCAGACTTGGCAGCCACTGAGGAGAGAGACGCACTTCTGGCAGAGTGGGGACCCCTGCAGCCATGTGAGAGAGAATCACCATGCAGCTTTAGCAGAGAATTGCCACTCGGCTTTTGGCCAGAGTGGTGACACCCCCCTCTCCACAGCTTTGGTGAAGAGAAGAAGAACCATGTGGTTTTGGCCAGAGTGGGGACCCCCGCAGCTTTGGTAGAAGAGGACCACATGGCTTTGGGGTGCTTGCTTTGGTTGTGTGGCCTGGGAAGCAGGAGAGACTTTGCCAGTAGTCATGAGAAGGTGCCACAGGGCTTTGGATTAATGAGAGATCCTGCCTGGACAGCGACACAGCTGACGGTGTCAGCGGCCTATAACACGAACGTGTGCTTCTTTTCCTGAGTTATGGTACCCCAAATTAGGGTGGGGGGGAAGGAAGCACTGTGAGTTTCTGTTTCCAAAAGGACTTTGATATTTTAATGGACACATTGGGTCACTACTTTAAGTCTGTATAGCTTTAAATAAACCTTTCCTTTTCACAAATCTCTGGCATTGACAGACATATTCCCTATTGGCAACAGACAGTCAAGCCCGGTAGGGGGTCCTTTGGGGGGAGGGTTGTTCTGTAAGTTTTTTGGCATCCCTGGGTGGGCCAAATATTGCCCCTGCCTTGGACCTCTGTTCTGTAACAACACAATAATGTATACTCCAATGGTTTTTAATTCTGTTTCATGAACATCATTCCTTCCTTTCAAAAATTAATCTTCTTTCAACTATATTTTAGAACATATTATTTTTTACCTTTTATTGCTGATGAAATATTTTAAGAAAAATAAAATCTGACAATAAAAATGTACAATATAGTTTTAGAGATATGAGGTCTGGAAATCAGCAGATGGTTTTTGTCTTTTTTTAAACTGTGTTTATAATGACAGTAGGTCAAAAATAATATGTCCTAATTGTTAAACTTGGAATAAGAAACCACAGAACTAATTATGTTACAATGGGTATGTTACATCACTTGCAGAAACTATTAAGTAGATGCTGGTAACTTCAAATTGTCACGACTGAGCTCCACTCACAGAAGGAGAATTTTAAGAATGAGGCTAATGCTGCTTATGTTTATACACAGCTTAGACTCAGAAACACTGCTTCCATGTGAATCTGAGTAATGAGAATCTGCCTATCATTTCTTGAGAAATAAAGCTGTCTTACTTTCTCGGTATTATCATTTTTGAAGAATGGTGACTTTTATTTTTATCCAATTCAAGCAAGAAAGGTAATTCAGCATCATACAATGTCACTGCATACACACCAGAAAAGGCTAAACGAATTAAGGTCGAAATTCATTTCCTCACGACTGTGCACCTCGACTCACGTGCTCCTGTCAGTGTCCAAACGCCACTGCGTTTTCCAGTTTAGGTGCAACAAAACCAGGACACGGAAACAGAGAAGCATGGCGACTTGACTGCAGTGCAGTAACTGCGTCTTAGAGAAAACCACAAATTCCCACGGCTGCTACTGAACAGGCTGATCCTCAGTCACAACACCAGCAAACACATTCATCAGCCCCACTGTGACAAGTAATCTTCACTAAGGCTATCTGTCACAAAAGACAGGTGACCAGAAAGTCTATTTCCATCAGATTCAATGCACTGGCCCAGCAACCTTTCCACTAGGTGGAAGTGTGACGGGCGAGGTTCGCGGGCATTAATTTATGGGCAGTTGCTCGAGCAGCAGTAGAAAGAGGGCAAGAGCCTTTTCAAAAACACTCAAAATGCTTCCAATTTCTATTCTGTTATTATTTCATTTATAATCAGAAGTGTCTTTTGGAAGATCCCTCACATCTTCAATGTTACACATTATCACCTCCATTAGCATGTTTTTTGCAATATAAACTCCGTATGGGCAGGGACTACTGCTTTTCATGACATTACATGTGGTATACACGGTAAAACATAATTTTATTAAAATGCATTGGTGACAAATTTCACGCACCTACATTTCCCTTTCTTTATAAGGTTATTTTCCTAATAACCAGTCTTCCTTTCTCTCTGCGTGGGGCAGTGGTTTGGCAGGGGCTGCCTCACCCCAAGCTCCAGCCCCGTCATGGGTCCAATTCCCCACTGGGAAGAGGGTTCCCAGACCCTGGGCTCTGGGGGCACTGCCTCACCTCACCTTTCCCACACCCGGCTTTTCATCTTTTGAATCACTTGTGTCAAGAATTCTAATAAATTAATGAACAATGTTAGTCTATCTTTCTAGCTTCTTTTTTTCACCAGGAAATGTCATTTATAAAATAAAAAAAGCTGAAAGAAATGAATATTTCCTTATCTTTTACTAAAAGGAAGTGATATAAGCTTGAGAAAAATATGAATTTGAAAAATAAAACTTAAAAAATACCAGAAAAGTGATAAAAAATTAACTATACAAACCCTATACTTCCATTATGAAAACACCCTTCAAATAATAATTTGTAGTTATAAATATATTTTAAAATCACTTGTGACTTTAACAAATAACACTAAAGTTAAAATGTGATTTAAAAGTGCCGCATCTACTGAACAAATATACGGCATATGCTATGAATCAAAGTCTGTCCTCATTCGCACTGATGTAAGAACCTGTCTAAGTGTTTCTACAAAAATAGCAGGTACCTGTTTACACTGTTTTGAACTATGCATATAATTACTTGTCATACTTAAATACTTCAACAAGTACTTACGGTACAGATATTTTTCTAGTAGCTACATGTCAAGCATTCACCACTCTTCTTTAGCATAATAAGCAAACCAGTGGAAATCCAGAACTGTGTATGTTGTCACTTAGCCTGATAACATAATTTTCTTAATTCTGCACATATTATACAAATAAATGCAGATTTGTGAAGTCTTTCATAAGCATATCTATGTTTGGATCACATATAAAATTTCAATACTATATATGTGTACATATAAATTTTATTACCCTGTCCAGAAAAAGTCCAACCATTGTTAATATTATGAGAACACCTACATGACATCAATGCAACCTGGCAGTCAAGGAAAGTGGATTGGAATGCACATACATGATCAATGATGACTGCACTGCACTAGTCAGTGGGAATGGTGAGTACTAGTCAGTGAGTGAGCACATGTACTGCGTGGATGTGGTGTTCAAAATGAGTCAGTACGGCACTAATCTGCATCAAATTTTTGTGTTAAGCTTGAATATTCATCCATGGAAACTATTTGGATGATTCAGAAAGTCACAGCTATGGGCAACTGGTGATTGGGAACTTCATCCTGACAACACGCCTGCTCACGCATCACGTCTCGTGCAGAGGTTTTTGGCAAAATATCAAATCACCCAGGTGACTCAACACCCCTACAGCCCAGGTATGCCACCCTGCAACCTCTGGCTTTTCCAAAAACTGAAACCACCTTTGAAAGGGAAGAGATTTCAGATCACTGATGAGATTCAAGAGAATAATATCGGGCAGCAAATGGCGATTGGGAGAACTGTGTGAGGTCCCAAGGTCCTGCCTACTTTTAAGGGGACAGGGGCATCCTTGTCTTACGCACCATATTTCTTGTATCTTCTTTGATGAATGCCTCTGTTTTTCATAGTACATGGCTGGAAACTTTCTGGACAGACATCCTCGTATATATGCAAATAAACAATCCTTAACTTTTAATAGCTTACCACTTAAAAAAAATAAGATTCCCAATTTTTACTTTTCAAATGAATATTAACTGTTAATAAAGCTATTGCTTTAATATCCTTGCCAATTTTCAGAAAAATTAAAAACATTTTAATCTCTCGCATATTCTGTAACCCAGAACTACATTCTACAAATGACTGGCTTCTGTAATACTGTTGTAACTATCTGACTTGATCTGTGCACACGTAAACAGCTGCTGATGACAGCTGTCTGATCCTATCCTGCAACCAAACAATTCATCCAAACAGGAACAGCAGTAACCTTTTTTAACATTTCCCCTCTCCTCTACTTTAGAGACCATAACAGTTGCAAGGCAAATACCTTTTCATAATAAACAATACCATATTCCTTATCATCACACTTGACACATCGAAACTCAACCATCAAGTACATGAAATTTGAACTTCGTTTTTCACTCTGAAAAAGAAGAGGATTTTTATGAAAAACAATCATCTTTAATATTCTCTTAAAGGATAAGTATGTATCATTATTCCCAATTCAGTTACACATGAACCTATCAAATACAAGTTAAAATGTAACACATTTTCATTTCATGATTATAAATGCACTGTTTTATCCAGCTCTACTATCTTATATACAGCACTATTCTTTCATCCAGTAGTGTCTACTAGTCACTTATAACTCCTAAAACTTAATGACCTTGTTGGTTTATTCAGAAGTTTGGGTTTTATTACATAAAATCTTGATAGTGTTTTTATATATATTGCATAAGAAATATTTAACTTCAAAAATAAAAATGTTTTGTACTTTAACAATTTTAGGTAAAGAACAGCTCACCCTTAAACCATATAATTAATCTAACTATAACAATTCATATAAGTGCGACAAAAACTGAAACAAAGTTTATAACTAAGTACTGAGGCCTTTTAGCTTAACAGATATAACCTTTACAAGTTTTTCACAATTTATAAATGGTCTTGAGATTATGTGTAGTCATTTGCAAAATTTTAATTAGTTTTAATATTTTATTTATTTACCCCTGGAGAGAGGGGAAGGGAGGGAGAGAAACATCAATGTGCAAGAGATACATTATATCAGTTGTCTCTCATACAACACAACTAGGAACCTGGCCTGTAACCCAGGCATGTGCCCCTGACTGGGAATCAAACTATTGACCTTCTGGTTCTCAGGCCAGCACTCAATCTGCTGAGCCACACCACGCGGGGCCAGTTTTTAAAATATACTGGGAAACAGTTACTTCCTTCTCAACATAAAAAAAAAAATGTCTCATTCTGTGTATATATTTGTCCCTTAAAAACAACAACAAACACCGTGTTAATAAAGTGAAAATCAAATGGTGTCTAAAAGGATGGTTAATCTTGACCCAACACACTTTTTTTAAATGGTTTTAAATCTACATGTATAAAACCATAGAAAAGTCTAAACGGGTCACTTAAGATTGTTCAGCTTTATAAAGCATATCATAGTCCACCACAGTAAGTAATGGTGTCCTATCTTTTAATGAGCTGGGGTGGACAATGTGGGAAAGGCTGGGCAAAGGAGCCCTAACATTACTTTTTCTATCGCATGGGAAACTAGTTAAAGAAAAAATAATAATAGCAAATCATTTTGATTAAACTACTTTTAGAATGTGACTATTATAAAAATTCAGAACAGAAAATTTTTCTTCCAGTTTGAAAATATGAGAATGTGTTACAAATGAATTTAGAAAAGATGCCCAGCATTCGTATCAAATATAAATGGCGTTAAACACCACTAATTTGGTTTTTTAAAAAAGGATACCAGAACATAACATTTACAATTGTTCACCGTAAAAATAAAATAATTTCTCTATCTCCTCAAAACTTTTTAAAGAACAGTGATCTGCGGTGGTCTCTATAAGTTAGGCACATCACAAAACTGATAATCCTCTTTCCTAATGTGATTAATATAATCATTATTTATGTTCTCTAAAGCCAAATATTAGGTCAAACAACTAGTATTTCAGTGTAAATACATATAAAAGGGAAAAAACTACGTTCCAACTTTTAGAAAGGTTCACCAAAGTCATCTTTTAATTAACCATATTCTAGACTAATACATAATAAGATCAAGAAATAAATCAAATACTTGAACCATGCAACTTTATTAAGGGTGCAGAGTCCTACATGCAGGACATAAGAAGTATTTTAATCAGGGACAGGACTTGCTAAAGGTGATTTACGGTAACTGAAGTGAAGAGGTAGCACTGTTGATAGATTTATTTAATACTGATTTGAACTTGAATATGAACTGCCATATGGAGGGTGAACACACAAGTGAGGCCTCAAACTCCCACAGGCTTCACTTACATTTAGCACACTTAAAATATTCATCACCTATTCATGGTTGGACATAACGTTAAGATAAAAGAAAGGTAGATACCCCAAGTTTTCCACTTATTAGCACAGAACTCCTAAACTACATGGTATCCCCAAAATATCAAATCCGTGAGATATCTGGCAATGAACAATTCTTCCTGATTTAGATACTTGAGAAAAAATATTCTGAGATTTTGAAAACGGAGGTCTTCACGGGGGCGGCTCAGAGGATCGGGTGTCGTCCCCTGGTTTGACCCCTGGTCAGGGCACGTCCGGGTAGCAGGCCAGGGCCCCGTTAGGGACATTCAAGAGGCAACTGATCACTGTTTCTCTCGCACGTCTATCTTTCTTTCCCTCTCATTCTGCCTCCCCTCTCTCTAAAAATAAATAAAAGAATAAAATCTTTAAAAAAGGGGATACAACCCACCTCATTTATCATTTCAATTTCTCTAAATGTCAATCTGTCCAGCCAGTCCACTTTCACCATGTGGCCTTGTCGGTGAGCTTTGGTGAGCTGCAGAACAAACATAACAAAAAATGTCAACACAGATCTCACAGAAAGGAGGGAGACAACAGTGATGCCCATCATTCCCTTTCAGCGTCATTCAGAAGGAACTAACTAATATAATAAGAGAGATTGGGAAGAAAGCAATAAAATTGTCTTTGCTCACAGATCATCTATGCAGAAAATATGAAAGAATAGTTTTAAAAAACCCTCCCAGAACTAACAGCAATTATAGCAAGGTTGCAGAATACAAGGTTAATAAATATACAAAAGTCAATTACTTTCCTGTGTACCAGCAATAAACAACTGGAATTAGAAATTAAAAACACAGAGGTATATAAATGATGTAAATGGCATCTCAATCAAACCATTATTTTAAAGCATTATTTTAACATCCACAAAAATAAAATTGGTATATATCTAAAGAGATATGTAAAAGATCTATATGAGGAGAACTACAAGACCCTGAAAAACCTAAACAAATGGAGAGATATTCCAGTTCATGGACAGGAAGACTCAAGATTGCTAAGATTTCATTTTGTCCCACTTGATCTATATATTTAACATCATCTCAATGAAAATTCCAGCAAGTTATTCTGTAGATAACAACATAATTTTAAAATTTACGTGGAGAGGCAAAAGATCAACAACAGTCGACAAAACATGGAAGGAGAAGCACAAAACTGGAGGGTGACACTACCCGACATCAAGAATTACTATTACAAAGCTATGATGACCGGGAAAAGTCGGCACTGGCAGAAGAACAGACAATGTATCAGTGGAACAGAACAGATATGCTGGAAATAGACCGGCATGCGTATAGCCAACTGGTCTTTGACAAAGTGGAGACAATACAGTGCAGCAAAGAGAGCCTTCAACAAATGGACTAACTAGACATCCATGCAGAAAAAAAAAAAAGAATCAAGAAACAGAATTTACACCCTTCAGGTACTAACTAAAAATGAACCACAGACCTAAATGTATAATGCAAAACTGTAAAACTCCAATAAGATAACATAGAAGAAAACCTACATGACTTTGGACATGGTGATGACTTTTTAGATGCAATGGCAGACATGAAAGAAATCAGTAAGTGGGACTTCATCAAAATTAAAAATGTTTGCTCTGTAAAAGACACTGCCAAGAGATAAAGACAAGCCACTGATGAAAGAAAATATTTGCAAATTTAATAAAGGACTGCTATCAAAAATATATAGAGAACTATTAAAACTCAATAATAATAATAACTGGATTAAATAATGGGTCCTTAATAGACAACTCACCAAAGATTTACAGATGACAAACATGCATATGAAAAAAATTCCACATCATATGATTCAGACCAATGCAAATTAAAACAAGATGTCCCTAAACATCTATTAGAAGAGCCAAAAGCTGAAATACTGGCAATACCGAATGCAGGTAAGGGTGAGGGATGATAGAAACTCTCATTCATTGCTGATAGGAATGTAAACTGGTACGACTACTTTGTGACAGTTCCCTCCCTACAAAACTAAACATAATCTTACTATATGATCCAGGCATTGTGCTCCTTGATATTTATATAAATAAGATAAAAATTTTGTCCACAAAAAAGCCCACATATAAATGTTTACAGCAAGTTTATGCATAATTGCAACAACTTGGAAACAACTAAGATATCCTTCAGTAGATGAATGCATACTGTGCTCCATCCAGATGATGGATTATTATTCAGCACTAAAATGAAATGAGCTACCAAGCCATGAAAAGACATGGAGGAAAACAAAAAGAAAAAAAAAGAAAAGCCATGGAGGAACCTTAAATGCATTATTACTAAGTGAAGGAATCCTACCTATCTGAAAAAGCTACACACTATATGATTCCAACTCTATGATGTTCTGAAAAAGATAAAACCACAGAAGCAATAAAAAGATACTTGGTAGCTCGGGGTTAAGAGGGGAAGGAAGGTTGAATAGGGGAAGCACAGAAGATTTTTCGGACTGTAAAGCTGCTCTGCATGACATCATGATGATGGGTACATGTCCTCTTACATGTGTCTGAGCCCACAGAACGTATGACACAAGGAGCGAAGCCTGGAGTAAGCTGGGGACACTGGGTGACAATGGTGTGTCGGCGTGGGCCCATCAGCGGTAACCGGCGTGCCTCTGGTGGGGAATGCCGAAAGTGGGAGAAGCTCTGCACAGCTGGGGCAGAAGGTGTACGGGACGTCTCTGTACCTTCCTCCAGACGCTGCTGTGAACCTGAAACTGCTCCACAGTGGTTCTGTCACCTCCACATTTGACACATTCCCATACACACACAGAAACATACACAGTATCAGGAGAAGACAAACTGGGTGAGGGAGTCATTATTGTCTTCTTAAACAGAAACAATTTGTAAAAAATGTTAAATGCCCACAATTTGCCACCTAAATGTGCTTAAAAAAAGTCATTTTCACTTGCTCTAGAATTCATATTTGTTGCTAATATACATTACTTCCTATAAACCATATTTCTAGCTTTCCTACATGAATGCTAAAGATGACCATTCTCAATCCTATTAATAGTAACCAAAGAACATATGGTCAGGATAGTGGAATCATAAACTGGTAAAGCCACTTTGGAGAAGTTTAAACGATTCTAAGTACGGTCACATTTGTGCATCATTATTTGCAGTACTGAAAATTTATACATAAAAGAATGTAAATGTCCATCAACAGTGAGCACTTGTAACTATAGCAAGCACACCCTATAAAATACTGCAATCAAAAGGAAAGGAGTATCAATACACCCCGGCAGGGAAAGATCAGTGCAGTGCAGCTGAATGCAAAATCAGCTGCAAAATGAGACGTACACCTCATGCTATGACTGCTTACAAATCTGCCTCCTGCACCAGACTCCTGACACTAAGAACAGAATTTCTAGATACTTCTCTGCATGAATTAATTTTATACTTTCTGCAGAGCTGGAGAGTTACCACTCGACTAGAGTACCACTCGACATATCCCCTGGCCACCTGTGCAATTACCCACTACTGTATGATAAAGCACCCCAAACCTTAGTGCCCCAAAACAACATTCATCTCATTATTTCTCACGACTCTTGGAGAAGTCATGAGGTTATTTTCTGAGGGACATTTGGATTTTTTCCTACTGGTAGAACAGTCTCTCATGAAACTATTGTCACTTGGCGACTGAAGCTTTACTCACGTTACTAACACCTTTGTGGAAAGAGTGGGCTCAGCTGGGAAACCAGGGTGGTGGGCCTTTCTCTTTCTGCTCGTACTCGGTGTTGCTCCCTCTCCAAGGGGTCTTTCCAACATAGTAGTGGGACCTTTTATATGGTGGCTCATTGTTCCCGAAAGTGCAACACCAGCTCTCTTAAGGGTTGGGCCTGCAACAGGCAGAGCATCACTTCGGCTGTACCATGGTGGTTAAAGTGAGTCGCAGGGCTAGTGAAGATCAAACGCAGAACGATGTGAGTACCGGGAAGCATGTTTCACTGAGGACCATCTTTGGAGACTAAGAAGCACGTACTTATCGGGAAGTCCAAGCATACAATACAACTGACTGCTCAATTGCAAAAGGGCAAAGAGAATGGACTCCGGAGCTGGCAAAGTCATCTCTTGGCTGGACTTTGGTCAGCAGGGAAAGTCTAGAACTAGCTATCCTAATTCCTGAATGATTGGCCCTTGCCTTCCTCTCCAAAATAATATCCGACAGTTCTCCACCTGACATACTACACTCCCTCCACACTTTTCAGTTCCTCAAACCAGAAAGGCTTTCACTTTTATGACTTAATGCCGATTAAATAATTAAATATTGGATGAAAATATTTTACTAAAATTTATAAAAACTTTATTGAACTATAAAGCACTGTGTAAACTGTTAGCAGCCAGTATAATTAGCCCGCAATCTGTGTCACTTCATCTCCTATGGTGCTGACCTCACTGCAGACAGACTGGGGTGTTTTCACCAGTCGTGAGCAGCTTCTAGTTCTCTCCAGGCTGGGAATATCTATGGATAATAGAGACCAAAAATGAACTTTCACAATATATATTTCATTTGGGGTCTGAAATATCAGTGACCTAGATCTTTCAAGAGAGAAAATGTGCATTTTGTTAAACAGCAGGGTAAAACTGGTACAATTTGTTTCAAGTTGCATGTGAAGAAGTGGTCTTCACTAGGGGGCCCACCCCAGGAAGAAGTTGGATCAATCACAGACAGTGTCACTCTCTCTTCTTAAGGAGCACAGGTTCCTACAGAATTCACAAAGAGCCACGTAGAGCTTGGAAGAGAAGCCCACTGTAACAGAAATAGTAACACAGTTATTGAGCTCTAACTTCTCCAAGAACTAAACGGCAAGAGGTTTTAAAAGCTATTTAACTAGAATAATCTGTAAGAACCAAATAACAACATGCCCAGGCAAATGGCTGAAACACAATGGTGGATAATCAGATTTAATGGGAAGCCAGAAATACATGCCTGAGAAAAATGTCTCAGATTAGCAGGTGTTCAATACAAGCACCAGGGTCAGAATTACAAGCATATCAACTCTCTACACTGTATATAGGCTGCGAACAGCAGGGAAACCAGACCTCAAACCAAACAGTAACCCCCTGGGAACGGAGAGATTTCCATGATCACTGTGACTCACAATTCATTGCTCCTTATTTATAGTATCTGTCCTACTGGACTTTAAGGTTCTTAAGTGCTAGAGCTATGAATGGTTGACAAAATCTAGCACCTATTTATTCAATGAATACTTGCATGTACTGAAAATCCTTTTAATGTGGAAAGGTGATAGAATGGAAAACAAGTGTTTGTGCATTTGGAATTCCTGCTCAAGAGCTTGAGGGAACTGATGGGAGAGGGACGGGGAGGGAGTGATACTGAAAACAGGAAGCTGGAAAAAAGAACCACTCTGCCCTTTACCCTGGTATCTCCATGGAGACACACCTCAATTCATTGCACTGTGCTGTACTGTAATCCAGATGTTGTGGGTTCTTACAAACTGAAGGCAAAACCC